ATTAGCTGTAAGAGCCACTATAACCATTAGACCGATAGTCCGAGATCAATCATCGCGGAGAAACTACGCCTCGCTAGAGTTTCGAACCAGCATTTGATGATCTCCTTAGTGAGCTAAACGGACGAACTTTCTATTAAGTAACGAATGATCTAAGATGTATTTAATGAAAAATAATGTCTCTTTTATCGTACCTGAGCATAAATTAGATTTAAAGCTATCCAAAACTGCTGCATTGTGTTTAAGAATGAATAAATCAAGCATTTATATAAGTTGCACCTACCTTATACATTTTCCCAAACAATGGCATAAACTTCATATCTTTTCAATTGTTTTCTTTATTCCAGGCGCCAGCTACACAGGATTTTCTCTTATTCCATAAAAATGCACAGCAATCAATGTATTTTCCAATTTGTTTATTAAACTTATTTTTTTTTTTTTTTGTATTTCATTTATAAATGTGTTTAAAAATATCCTTTATGCATGCAACCAGTAAAAGCGTTTGATTTATTGTTGCCTTTTTAAAGGATGAAGACAAACAACTACAGATACTCAACACAACGTGAAGAAGATTATTGAATAAGGCCATTCTGTTATTTCTTTTTTATTGTAGCAATTAAATGTTGTTTACCTTTTTAACTTGTTTGTGAAGACGGCTTAGACGTCATCGGGGGCACGATTTGGGTATCAAGTTTCACAACACTGTCGAAAAACGTCTTGTTCCACGTGTAACCGTCCGTCAAATGTTGTCCGTAGCACAACAGACTACAATATTAGGTGTTAAATGGCTTAGGGTTTAGAAAGGGGATTTTTCGCGGCGGTGATTCATTTTCGACGCGATGATTAAATATAGATTCAAGGATTAGTAACATTTCAATACTTCAGAACATAATAGTGTGCAATGTTTTTTCCTATGGATAAACTTACAGACAGTTTGAAAACTATTTGTTTTTATAAAAGTTCGCAAAAATTTATCTTGCTACTTAAGGTTTGTTTGGTCACATGATTAATTCTGCGAGTGATTATGAAAAGATATAGATTATGAAACGCTGCCTTATCTAGCTGTATATTTAGACAAATAGTATAGTATGATTTAAAGACAAAACTGTTGATTATTTTCTAATATGTTTGTAATTTATATCACGTATACGATATTCCTTTGCACTGTATATTACTGTAATGATACATCAATAAAAATATGTAAGTTACTAAAATTGGCCATGCTATAAAGGTGATTATATGATAATTATAATTTATATATTAAGCATTATACGTATACAGAAACCATTCCCTGCCATTTTTTGCCGCGTCAACTCTCTTTAGACCAACAGATTCAAACAGACGATTGTTTAAAGAAGTGGTTACGGGTGTGAGTCGCAAACAGTTGTTGTTTCGTAACTCTACACTCATGTATGTAACGATTTACCCAGAAAAAAAGACTATGAAACTTGCAGTATCTGGATGAAATACTCGATAGTACACTGTCGTCACTAATTTCATTAATCAAGTTCAGTCAATAAACCAAAATTTACATCCATCATAATCAAACTTTATTTTCATTTTTAAAGACTTTTTCATCATTTTCTCATTTATGTACATTAACAAAAATATTCAAATTTTGTTTAAACCAAAATCAGTTCTTCACTTTGAATATTTATTTATTCCGTATGCAAATCCACATAAAATTATCAAGCACTTAAAATAAAAGAACTAAAAATAAATATAACATCGATTATTTAGATACTGTTACAAGATACCGGAAATTACTCATCCGACCCCGTGGGTATTAAACGTGAATCATTGACTGATTTTTAAACTTGCGGTTAACAACACCCTCGGCTTATACAATTTAATTGTCTTAGGTGTAAAATAGGCTTAAACTTCGTTTAAATTAATGCTGTCAAAACATCAATATTTTGTCATAGTTATAATGAAACTTCCACATGATTTTATTAAATATACAAAATGTCTGCGGTTTTAAGAACGCAATGTTTTTTTACTAAAATGACAGTTTTTGGTCATTCTTATTACTTAAAACATAGATATAATATCTTAAATAATCAAAACTTTTTTAAGAATTAATTAAATTAAATTTTAAAAAATGTTGGAATAGGAAGAACAGGAGAAAAATATTAATCTTTATCGTTGATTGTGTGTTTTGTATAGTGTAATTAACTAAACACATATCTGTTTCTTTCTTTAATTCTAAGTACATAGACACCATTCATTTTTATAACCCACGGATGCAACACAGGGGGTAAGTTATAACAATGATTGTAAAAATCCCTTACCCAGTGGGCTTTTCAGATGGTAAAATATATACATGTACTGTGTAATTTAGAATAAGTTTCAAGCTTTTTAACAATATCGATCAAAAATAGTTATTCGGAGCACATCGCCATTGCCGCTGTGATTAAACCTAAACTTCCTTTCAACTTTATCTTAACAAAATCGAACTCTTAACGAAAGCACCTAAACATACATGTAGATTTGTATTTCGAATCTATTTATAACATGTACAGCGCTTGAACTTTGTACATAAAAGTAAAATCTTATATTTATTGTTATACCTGTTGTTTCGGAGAGAAGTGATATTTCAAATAAATATAAGGTATCATTTCGGCGATTTTCAAGCTTTGATGAAGCGGAATGTCACCAGAATAATAATGATCGTTAATTTTGGCTAAACGTAGAACTAAAAAACACCCCCGATGACCTTCGCAAAACATGTAAGTAAGGTCGATAAAGGGTCAGAGAAATGAACACGAAGGTCACAAATTCATTTTTTTTTTTTTTGCTTAGGTTTGCTTTCCTTAAAACAACCTTAAATTTGTTTACATGGTAATTTCTTTCCCGTTCTGATTTTCTTCTTGTTACTTGCGGTTAAAACACACATTCGCGGTGACGTTATGTGTGTACTTTTCGCTAAAAGGTTATTTTGTGGTCGCGCTCGTCTTCATATGAAGATGATTCAGTCAAACACGGATGAAAATAAAGACTAGCAAAACAAATAATGTATATTTCGTATAGCTGATCCGTGGCAATCTAAAATCTAAATCTCTGTTACTGATTTGCCAGTCCTTAAATTAGAAAAAGTTCAATTGCAAAATAAAGGGATTTCAATTTGGTATTAAAGTTAAAATAAATGAACGTGTACTAACAGTATAAAACCCTGGTCTGATTGCTATCCTGGCTCTATATAGTGACGGCAAACACTTAACACTACCGGTGCATGCACGTTTATGGCATAGTCGATGTAAATATAGGTTACAGTACAATCTCAGCAGAGAAACACCCTTTCGAAGCAAAATGTTTTGGTTGAGGCTGATAGGCTAATTGCTCTTTTAGGATTAAATTTTTCGAAAAGTCATTCTTCGGGGAGAATTTAAATTGTTTTAAATAAAAAGGTATTGATCTGCAGAGATGGCACTTTCTAAAACAAAGTACGTACTATGTATGCTCACCTCATGAAATAACAGCTATAGATGATAAAAATAGAAATGACATAAAGATTGAATAACTGCCTTATGACTAGTATACATTTAAACAAGCACATTTTATTTATTTTTCAAATAAGTACATGTATATAATATAAAAATAATACATCTAAAATGCACTTGGTGCTCTGAATATCTGAGTATGTCTTACAGGTTTATCACTTTTCTCTAAAACTGATTAATTTTTATATGCTTCTAAATAGTTTGATCCGAAGAAAACCATAGCAGAGTAATGGTTTTAAAAGCACAAAATTTTCCGGTCTATGGTGAAACGCTGTATTTAAAACCACGTAACTATACGTAAATGGTTTAAACAGAAAACAAAAACGCTGGATTCAAAGTCTCTTTCGTGAAGTAAACCACGTATCCTAGTTAGTTTATTAATTAGAAACGATTTTGTGGTAGGAAAATTCGCTATGTTCCTTTTGTCCGTGTTATTTCTTGCAACGTTGTTTTGTTCTTCAAATTTCATGATAACGATCACAAAGTAAGCCGCAAGTACGTAACTTTTGACATCTAATCTGCAAAAGTAAATATATATATAAAACACCTAGGTTTACATTTGTTCATAAACATGTTACTTTTAAAGTGTGTAACGTACACTACGGACAAATGTAACATAAATAACCGTAACATTTGTAACATGCCTTACGGTTACGCTCGTAACTTACAGTTAACATTTGTAACTTACATTTCGTTACCGTTTGATAGCATACATTAAAGTGGAGTGGTCAACAATGGCCACTTTTTCCGTAGGATGATATGAAACATTAGAAATGTATACTTTTATATTCTTATGAAAATTGCTTGAAAAGCAAAACGTTAATAAAACTCTTAAGTGATTGAGTATGACATTTATATGATGAATAATATTATTTTGTTCTAGAACATTTTATTATCTGCTATACAAATACATGCAATATCGCATCTTGCGTCTAATAATTGCCAACAACATCCATGTATAAATCTTTCATGGTTTGTTGTATGTCTGATGCTTAATAATATCAACGTAATTATTTATTGTATTACAGACATTCCATTATACATGTAGACCAATTTACTTTAAGGTAACGTTCGCAATTCACGATACTTATATATCAGCACCATACTATATGATGACTTTTATAACTTACAAAAAGGGTAACGTTTGCAAATTACATTACAGTTACGCTTGTAATATACAATATAGTAACGTTTCCAATATACTTTAAGATGCATTTGTATTTATGATACTATCCAATTACAGTATATATTGATGTAACATATTATGACATTCTATATTTAGGCTACATCTGCAACCAAAAATATTCCGGTTGTGCATCGTAGTGTATCGGTAGTGTATATCTTTGAAACATTTGTAATCTACGTTACGGTAACGTTTACAAAACATGCATTAAGGTAATGTTTGTAGCATGTTTTATTCTAATATTTGTAACTTACGTTACTAGTACAGTAATATTTTTATTGTAACTTACGTTACTGTAATATTTTTAACTTTTTATAACTGTTATATTTTCAACTTACACTTCTATTTAATATGTAATTTAGATTACAGACACTCTGTTTGTCAATAATTCGTCGTCATCCTCGTCCCGGTTGCGTCTGCCTCTGTTTAAAATTTGCTGAAAAAAGTATAAGTCAAAGTGTTTCATACGGTGTCCTTATCGTGCCATTTGTTATGTCGTCCGTCGCGTTTAAGGGTCATTGAAAAGACTTTTCATTTTCTTCATATAAAATTTGATTGAAAGTATAACAATTACGATTCGGGTATTTTTAACAGACTGGGTGAAGAAAAATGTTTTTTTTTAAATATGTTTAAAAAGCACTTTATTTAGGTCAATGGATACCGCACATTTGAAATCAGTTGAAAATGAACATTGTCTTGACTATTTTAAGGTGAGACAAATTTATTCCGTTATTATTTTCATTTTTATTTACTTATAATAACTGATAGTGAAGTATTCTTATATACATGTATATGCCAAAGAAAATATTTTTAAAAAAACTTTATGTTTGATCTTGCTCCTGATTTCAATATCTAATTACTATATTTAGTAAGCACGGTTAATATGACTTCGATTAAAACATAGATAACTAATACCCCTAGTTCATTTGCTCGCTGCATCTTCCGATTTATGGCATCGAGGGCGTCGTCAGTTGTCAAATACATTCGTTCTTCATATGACTTGATAAAATCTGTTGTCTCCATTACCCTCCATACTTCATCTGAAATATACATTATTAATAAGTTTAAATCTTTTGTCTCCATTACCCTCCATACTACATCAGACATATACTTTTTTATAGAAATATTTGTCTCCATTACCCTCCGAGCTTTATCTGAAATACCCTTTAAGTTAATAAAATATTTTGTTTTCATTACCCTCCATACTTATTTGAAATATACTTAATAAAATATATTGTCCCCGTTACCCTCCATACTTTATCTTAAAAATGTGTTCCTGATGAGTTTAGATATACGTGTACATTTATTACATTTTATACATACGCATATACTCATTTAGAATGTTGTTTACAACGGTAGATTGATTCAGAAAAGGTCATGGTTTGATCTCAGAAAAATATGCATATCATTATTATGAAAGAAATCAGATGATAGTATGCCGTCGTAACAGGATGATATGGTATCACATTTACGTTATTCTTAATAATGAAATACAGTCAAACTAAATATGTTTGACTGCTGGTGGTTTGATGATGTTGTTGTTACTGTTGTTGTTGTATTGTAGCGATCATTATTCATGTTTAAAGTGGCTACTACATTAATTTCAATATCTTGAAACGAGTGGCTAGTTGAACGTAAGCATAACGGACACATTATGACGAATGATATCATTCAAAAGATCAGCTCCATGAGTCTGTAAAACAAAAAAAAAAATAAAGAAAACAAATTCCGAAAAAAGAAAACAGTCTGAGATAATTAAATATGTTAAAATCCTTATTTCGTGTCAGGATCAAACACATTACTTTCATGTAGTTAAATATCATGAAACGACAACAATACTATGTTATCATACTATATTATCAAACATAGAGTATGATATCATGCTAAGTTATAATGCTATGTTATCATTCAATGTAATCATACTCTGCTACCATTTTATGTTTCTATGTTTACCTTATCATACCGTGCTTTCATACTTTGTTCATTATATATTGTTATACTATGCTATCATTATATCTAATCTTTCTATGCTATCATTTTATGTTATCATACTAAGTTATCGTTTTATGCTATCATTATATATTATCATTATGTGGTTATACTATGTTATCATTATATGTTATCATTCTATGTTACCATTTTATGTTATCGAACTAAGTTATCATTCTTTTCTATCATATTATGTTAGCATTATGTGAAAATACTATGGTATCATTCTACGTTATCATTCTATGTTACCATTCTATGTTATCATAATATGTTATCATTCTATGTTATCATAATATGTTATCATTCTATGTTATCATAATATGTTATCATTCTATGTTATCATAATATGTTATCATTATGTGGTTATACTATATTATCATTCTGTATTATCACTCTAGATTATCATTCTATTGTATCATTCTATGTTATCATACTAAATTACCATTCTATGATATCATAATATGTTATCATGCTATGTTATCATGCTACATTATCATATTTTATAATCAAATTATGTTATTGATAATGCTGTGCTCATTTATTGTTATTATTTAATAAACACATTTTATGTTATAATTCTGTGGTACCATTATATGTTAAATTTTATAAAAAATATATGACATTTATTATATTTTATAATGTTTATATTTTTATCACATCATGTTATCATACTTTTTTATAACTTTAATACTGACCGTTAATATTACTGAACAAAACTTCGACATCGACAGACTGGTAGTCCTCTACAAGCTGTAAATAATATTTAACATATAGGTCAATATGACACAATAAAAGTCACAAACATGCACTGTATAAATAATTGCAAAAAAGTTGTTTTCATTTTTTTTAGTACAATTATAGTAAGGACTTCATTAATAGCTTTTTATGAGCGTTGTTTATATACATATCATGTGTTGTTATTGCTTTCGATCTATAAATGTTTGCGTGACATGTATCTTAATATACTCGAGTGACATACTTACCAAACGAGACTCTTAATATTGTACTTCGTACTGTATTACTTATTCGTGGTTTTGGAACATTCAAATAATATTGTTGTATTGTGTGATATATTTGGGCCGTACAATAATGCTTCCTTTGAAAGGTTTTACAATGGATGGGGAAAAATGTAAAGATTGAAAACTCGCCAAACGGCAACGTTTTCTTGCTTTCTTTTTGCCCGTCATACGAAAATAAAACCTCTACCAACATATTGCCCCTTGTGGCTGAGGGGTTGTTTTTAATTACAGAATCCACCGTTTATCCCTGCGTGATCGTAAGAGCCGACTGAATTGGTTCGAATAACTGGAGTCTCACCTCCAGCAATGAGGTGGTTTTGACCCTTGGTGTTGCTTTTAAGTTTGTAACATCCGAGGTTAGTCAAAATAATATTTCCTGTTTCGGCGCGCTATGGGCCTTATACTGTGTTGGTGCACCATAAAACCAGACAAACATACATCATAGTTTTGATAGCTTATCCAGCACGTTTCTCTTGACATGACTTACCTGTCTTAAAACTTTCGCGCCAACAGAATCAATGAACGCCACGCCTGAAAGGTCAAGTATGATGTGGTGTAACATATTGTCTTCCATCAGAGATGCACACGCAATCGTTTGTCTTATTAGGTCACCAGGATCCGTACTGCTATCATCCATTGCCATCATGTTTGGAAGAAGAGCCGCAGAACTCTTAATAAGAGAATAAAAAAATTAGATAACTTAATTCCTTGACACCTTGATTATGACAATAGACGAAAATAACCTTTAAATCAGAAACAAAACATTTTAGTAGTTGGAACACCGAAAACCCCACTTTTCTTTAATCTCAGTAACAATTAAGTTACAAATACATTACAAAATACTTCATTTTGTTTATCAATTTATATTGTACACATTTTAATTGCACATAGCTACACATAAAAATGAAAACATGAATGTGACATAATTTGGCCAACGTATTAAAACAAATCTTGAGAATATGGCTTTCAATTAAATCATTTGTAAGCCAATTATTAGTTTTATTTGGTAAGAATACATATATAGAGAGTGTTTGTTAATTAGCCCTATTGTTTAACAGGTTATATGACCCATTGTTACCAGTATCAGAATTGTCGGCTGCTCAAGTTCCATCTATTTTTTTACGTTTCCTTTCCTATAACAAACAGAATAATTACTTGCATACTTGCAAATATGCCCCCGGGTTAAACCGTTAATATTTGAAAATAAAGTGTGAAATTTATCTCCAATATCTGATGCATATAAAACGTTTTTGAAACGTTCATGTTTTGCAAAATTAGAATAATTCTGTCATATACATAAAATGAAAAGTAGAAAAAAACTTTAAACTCAAAATTTTCCAAGAAATTAAATATGCTCTTTCTAAAATTTCAAAGCGAACTAAAAAGGACGTTACCCGAAACCCGCTTGGTTTGCGTTACTTTTGTCGTATATAAACCAGTTTTAGACATTTTTGTTAAATTTACCCTACTTGTCATTTACGATAGGAATATGGGAAATTTCAAAGTCTGCCTCTTAAAGGGGGCGGACAATTCTTTGTCCCTTTCTCGAACGAGAAAGGGAATTCTGTGATGCGTGTATGTGGTCGCAGGGTCACTTTCCTAATATGTCCTCGATGCATGTATGTGGTCGCATGGTCGAATATTTCTTTTAATTTTTAACTTTAACTTTAACTTTTAATATTTCTTTTAATATTCTTTGACATGTATAGTCCTAAGTAGTTTTAAACAAGGATTTTTTTATGTTTCAATTGCTTTTAAACTCCTTTTTTACGATTCCAACAGTGTTTTAAGAACATTAAAATTTAGCACCAAAAGGTTCCGTTCCAATACGCTTTTGAAAACCTCGTCATTTTTTAAGAGATTTTCGACAATGCGACCACATACATATTGAGGACATGAAAGGAAATTAATACACATACCACATATACGCATCATAGGATTCGTATGAGAAAGGGACGAATTGCTGTCTGTCCTTTTATACCATTAAGTATAGACTTCAAAGGTATGCCATACCTTATTGTCACTGATAAGGAGGCTTACCAGATGTTCTATATGCAACAATAGTAAGGTAAACAAGCGGGGTATCAGTTTATGTCCTTTCAAGTCAGCTATGAAATTTAAAAAAAAATGTCATAAATAATTTCTTGGAAAAAATATGAGATAAGTTTTCTTCTACTTTTCATTCTATGCATTTTAGGAAATTGTTTTAATTTTGCAAAACATAAACGTTGTAATTAAATATGATATATTTCACACTTTGTTTTCAAATATTAACCTGGGGGCATATAAAAAAGTTTGCAACATCGATGTAGGTTGATAATATGAGCGCCACAATAAGTCAATGAAAATCGATTGTACATAAGTCATAGGTCGCCTTGGAAGAAACTGATGATTACTGGTTGATTATCCAGGAAAGCCGGTTTGGTGAACCACTCGCTGAGATGAGACCAAAATGCGCTGAAATCGGCGTAAAAACAGACTAACAAACAATTAACTTACATTTTTCTGACTCATCCTTATTCTTTCCGCTTTTAATTGTCTCTTAACTTGCCGCTTCTTTTTCTCCGGTACCACACCAGTTAATGCATAGACTTGCTTTACAAATAACGAACCATTGGCGTAATACAGCGGCGACGTATACCCAACTATAGCTACTCCTGAAACCGACCCTGTCTAAAACAGAAATAACTGCATGTATTTATTTATTTATTTATATTTATTTATATTATTTAAGCTCGCTGGTGATAGAAAATTGAGAGCCAATTTTGAACATTTTTTGTTACAGCTAGCTGGAATTAGACTGTACTTTAAACAAACAAGAAAGCTTGGATATGACCCTCAAATGGATTTGAACCCAAGATCCTTGGAGGTCTGTGCGTTTCATTATCCTCATAATCCTCATCATCATCATTATTATCATCATCACAATTATCATCATCATTATCATCATCATCATTTTTATCATCATCATCATCATCATCATCATATTATTATCATCATCGTCATCATTATTATCATCATCACCATCATAATCATCATCACCACCACCACCACCACCACCACAACTATCATCATCATCATTCTCATCATCACCACCACCAGCATAACCACTATCATTATCACCATCATCATCTTCATCATGATCATCAAATGACAGGAAAGGGACAATTTGCTACTCGAAAACAGTTATAACGCTAATTAAATACATTGTGCTTATAAGATTTTAAACATACCTGAACGTATTTCGTACTGTCTTGATAAAGTTGGACGGCCTCAATCCTCTCCAGGTTATTCACTTTTGCCCTAAAATATGACGCTATAGAATTACTCTAGTTTCGACCTAAATTATGTAAGTAATTATGTAAGTTAGTGACTATGCAATAATTAATATATTTTTTCTTTACACCTGAAGCAAATGCATTTTGATATCATTTCAAATTTATTGATGATATTAAGTTGAATTACAGTAACTGTAAAACAATTATCAAGAGAAAAAATATTAATAGATACTTTTTAACTTATAAGCCAATTAGATGAATGAGTGGTCGTATTGACGAAGTACGAAATTGCTACAGATTCATCGTCAATGCGTTTTTCGTACCTTCGCCTTTCTATTTTTAGTAGTTTTGGTGAATTTGCTTTGCGATGAAACGAGAAGTCTAAAGCCAGATAAACGGAAATGAGGCAAGGCTTCCATGTTTTTCATGTTGCACATTGTACTTCCTTCCTTTCGTGTAATGGGGCGAAAGCGCGTAATAACAAAAGTACGAAAGTTTTTGGGTAAATTGTTTAAAAGAAAGAGGCTATACCTCTGTGAGCGAATTACGACGGTAAAGAACGAAAAGAGCATGCCAAGTAAAATACCATAATCTACATGTAAAACAACAACTGCCAGGAACGTCACAATCCAGATCATCTGTAATACAGTAAACACAAGTAAGAATGACCAAACATATACAATTTCTATCTTCATACAAGTTAAAGATAGCCTTTTTTGCATCTTAGTCACCAAAGGTGAAACAATGATTGGCGGTTTATCAAGCATTCATAAATATAGTCATTTTGGTGGATATGCAAAGATAATTAATGATTTTCTTGTTCAGAAAGAAGAACTAGTCCTTTGGTAATTCTAAACCGATTCTACCCATCCGACCAATGCAGACCAAGATCAGCCAGCACATCCAGGCCATCTAATCATGACACGGACTTTTGCCTATTCAGCCAGAACATATTTTGAAATATCCCCTCAAAATGATCAATGGTTTTGTCATTATTGAAAGATGGACAAGTCCATTCAAGATATCTAGAGTGATAAGGATATGTATAAAGATTTGAAAGGCTATATATTTGTTTATTTTTTATCACATGTTGTTCATTGTTGTTGCTTGTTTACGTCATAGCGGTCAAGGATTTTATCACTAAGCTATAGAATACATCATATAATGAAACCTCGAGTACCTAAAAATAAAAGAAAAGAACATATTTTGATATATACATACACAGTCGTAAACAGACGTTCTGTAAATTTTTGGAAGGTCTAGAAATTGTAGAAATAAACTTCGTAAGGCTACTGTGATGATAGACGCAAGAACGCACTGAAAAGAAACACCAAAAAACCAATAACTAATAACAAGCAAATAAAAGCTTTGAGAATATTACAAAAATAAATTCAGGGACACACTATTAAGAAATTCCATGATAAAGGTGAATTATTTTGGGGAAAAATGAATGAAAAATACCCTTAAATAAAAGATCGTTCAAAGGATAAAGACATACTAAGAATTATGAATAAATAATATGATGGCAATTGCTGAAGTTAAAGATGGAGATAAAATGATCAACGTGAACTAGTATATAAAGGAGTTATATTTCAACTAAATATAAAAAGTGGACTAAAACTCTTAGATTAGACACTAAAGAACTTACGTTAGGTAAAGTTTGAAACAATGGTCCAATGGAAACAATTACAATAAGAACCAGTATTGCCGAAAATACACTGGCCAGCTAAAATATAAAAATAAACGCCATATGACATAGACTAATAATACAATGAATGCATGATTACGTTTTATTACACAATTCTATGTTAAACTAAAAGTAAATGAAAGCTTGTGCAAGTAAATGTATATAATAAATATTTTGACAATTTTATTCCGTTGTAATGTATTGCTCTGATATTCAATTACATAAATCTTCTATTTTAAAGGACCATCCAGGAGGTCTAAAATTGCCTTTTCTCTTTTCTCTATAAAATAATATTTTTAAATTTTGTGTCAAAATCAAAGTCATTAACCATACAGCTGAACAATCTTTTATATTGTTAGTATGATAGTGATTTGGTATTTTGAATGTAAGTTAAACTATAACTTTGTTTACATTTTGCTACCTTCATGTCATTTTATTTCATAATCAATACTTTGTGCTTTGAATCTGTTTCTAAAAATTATAGTCGTTCAAATATTTACCTGCGTTTTACCACCAGCCGATTCCTGCACGGAACTTCTCGATACCGAGGCGGCGTAAGGGTAGCACGAGAAACACGAGCCAAAAATATTACCAGCACCATACGCTATCAACTCCTGTTGGTGTGAAATAAACAATAAAACAAAACAAACCTTCAGCCCATTGAGTTCTGAGAAAACGTTAATTATCATTGTAAAATTCTTATTAGACTTATTAATCATATAGTGTTCCGTTAGAGCCATCGATCTATTGTTGTTTCTGTGTTTTAATTAGGATGGATAAGATAAATTGCAATAATGCGAAAATCTGTGTGTAAGAGAAAGATTGCAACGCGCGAAAGTGTTATGAATATTGTACTTTCGCAGAATTAAAAATTTGCTGTTATTTTTGTTGTTTTTCTTTGTTGTTGCTTTTGTTGTTCTTTTATCACAAGTTTTCATTTACTATGACATTATTGAAGGCCAATTACAACAATGCCAAAACGAGAAAGAAGGTTGCAAATGTTATGTAGCCATCTATCGTCAACTTTTCACTCAATAGCATAAACTTTTCGCTATTTCGTGTGTATTTATCAATCTTTTGAATCTTCGATTTTTTGTCTTTCTCCATACATGACGTATTCATATGACGAAACCACATACGATGGCCCGAAAGGATCGCTGTGATACCAGTTCATTTACCAAATTTCTGTTTCTTTTTTATTTAAAGATATATGTCGAACCTGATTTGCATCATAACTGTAGCCATGTTTTTTCGCCATCAGCGCAGCTAGACCTACACATTGTGAGAAGGCCACTATCGCTATAATAAACACATCTGCTGTATATACACTGGTAGAAGGCAAACTTGGGAAAGACGGCTCGGGTAAACTGAAACATGCAAATGGAAATTACAGAGTAAATTTTTCATCCTTTTTTATATAAGCAAAAACCATACGTTTTGAAGAAAATTAATAAGAAGACCTTGTTTTCAAATAAATTTAGCCTTGTTTTAAAGTGAATAAAGGAGATAAAGAATATTTCATAAAGCATACTTCTTTTAAATAAATAATTGACCAAAAGAGTACAACAATTTATTTTATTTTGCTGAAATGTGTTTTTGTATAGCAAATACTTTTCTTTTCAGTTACCCTCTCGGTATTTCACCGACAATTTTCATCCCATACTTCTCGGAGAAATTCAGAAAATATGACGTCATCGTACCGACGACAACCTGCAAAAATGATTTACCGTAAATTTAAATGTCGTCTGCTTTTTTATAAGTGTGTGATTTTATTGCACACAAATTGTACAGAATAATGAAATTAAAATTTTACAATTCTAATTAAATTTCATTGAAAGAATAACAAGCATTTACATGTATTGATAGATCATTACTTTCGTCTGATTTGGGTTCTATAACGAACCCTCATTACAATGAAAAACACATTGTAGGATTATCAAATTTTAAAGAATTTTAGGATTTAATCTAAGATAATATGAAAACATGTATACCTACTAAATAGAATAACTAATGATACTGGAATTAAACGTAAGAACCATTTCATATAGTTCGTAAAAGTTTAATAATGAACATAAATTATCAGTTTCATGTCTTTCAAAACCATGCTTACCACGATAAGTTCGACTGGAACCGGAAACTTGAGTCTGTCTTTGAACCTGATATTTATCTGTACTTTTATGATGTAAATAAACACCATACACACCAGAGACATGATCAAAGTAGGCACATTCGTTTCTCCTATATGATGAAATATCAGGACGTATGTCTGAAATTGAAAATAAGTGAAAATATTAGTCCTAACCTACCAAATCTTTGTAATAGACGAAACCAGCTTTGAAACTGGAGCTTTCCATTACAAGTTTTAGGTATTTCAGAATAAAAAGTTACCATATCGAGTAGTCCACATTTCCTAACAGCAAGAGGTTATGTCAGACTACCAGTAGAAAAGTGATGGGTAGGTTGCTCTGGATCTGCTCTGGCGCCATGTTTAAACTATGTCATTTGTTTGATTCCATGTGACAACAAATAACTGACATACTTTATTATAAACAGGCGTGAAGTATCTAACACAGAACCCTCTTTGACTGAGTATTATAAAATGGAAATCTTAAAACAATTATTACAAGGCCCGTTTGTTTTTCCTATTTTACGAATAGTTAGTAGGACTGATTCGATTTTATCAAATATGCTAAATATACAGTGAACAACATATTATGCGCATTATCCTTTTCACAGCCTCTCACAAAGAATTAGCTCAAATGCAAGCTAGCTTAACGTGTTCGACCACACAAACCTGTGCAGCTTATAGCATCAATAATATAAAGTGAACCCTACCGTTTGCATTGGTATCAAATAATACATTTTGATACATACAGTCATGTACGACAAATTGATTTATTTACTTACCTTTATGATTTGAAAGATCCCGTCAGACCGTGGTATATGAAGACCAAACACATATTTGACCTGACTTGTACCAACATGTACTGCACAACCGGTTGTAAAACCACCAATCAGCGGGTCCGACATATATGTGGTAATGAACCCCATTCGGAACATGCCCATAAAAAGCTGAGAAAATCACCATTGAAATGCATATAACTGTTGAATTAATGTACATTTAGTTAGTCAGTTATTGGTAAAATTTTATACTTTTTTTTGTATTGAGAGGTTTAATCATTGTCATATATATCATATACGAGTATTATTGTTGTACATAATATGAATTGTTTAATAATTCATGTGTAGATCTTTTTCATTTATATCAGCAAAGTACAATGAAAACAATTTAAGATACAAAACTAAGACGATGATAATTTCAGTTATAGAAAAATCAGCCATCTACCTTTTTTGCTCTAAAATCCTTATATCACGGCGAGGAACTATTACACGAGGGAAGGAGATTTAATGATAACTTGTCAGGAGTTCTTGTGATAACTGTTTCGGAGTTCGACGGAAAACTGTTGTTTATAATAAAGGAACACTCGTCAAAAATGGTAATTTTCATCTCTCCCCGTGTATATTGAATACGTCCATCAAATGTAATTTTATCGTGTTTTTAATATACTTTACCTGTGCAAAACCGACTAGGAGACAGACCGATGCTGCTATGTCAAATTTCACATGGTTCGGTAGTTCTACTTCTATCGGATCACTAGGGTCCGTACTTATATTTTTCTCTTCTTCTGACAAAGTATTAGTGAGGTTCACACCCAAAACTGTGGACGCTAGGGCCGGGTCATAGAATCTTGATATCACAGAGCCTGTCAGCAGACTGCATATGGCAACAGTTCCTAAAACATGGATGTAATCAACATGACAATTTGAATAGGAATTGCAGTTTACAAAGTTAGTGCCATCATGGACGAGAGTCTAACGCGTCGGACTAGTAACGATCGCCGGCCGCATGGATCAAATCCCATTAGAGACAAACCGTTGTTTCCTTGAGCAAGAAACTATACACTCATTACTCAGTGCTGGTTGGTTCCAGGAAGTGTCTATAAGCTTATAATTTCCTACACAATCAAACTTAATAAATTCTGTATAACCAAAGTTGAAATGTTATGCGAAAGGTTAGCATTTATGAACAAACTTTGTCACGATGTCTCTGTGTTATTGTGTACAATTTGTAAAGAAACAAACACAACTATTAACATACCCATAGAAATATGTTTGGAGGTGCCGAAGATGAAGTAAACAAGGACGGGGAAGAACGCCATGTACAGACCGACAACTGGTGGTAGTTCTGCTAAAAGAGCGTACGCCATACCTGATACAGACACAAAACATGACATAAACAAGTATTGCAAAAAGAATTGATATATTTTACTGTAAGGTCTGTACTAGACTTTCTCTTTAAAATGAATGTTATTCACAATTCGCAGTCCAAGAAACAAATGACTCATCCACTGCATTACATTGGCTACTGTTTAAATTCATGTCAAATTTCTTTTATAGTTTAAGTCTTACAAATCGGACAAACTTACATGTCGTTTACAATGTTAAACAAAATGCACAAAAGACTATATGAAAACCGTGGAAAGCATGGAGAAGTGTTATTTTACCTTGCGGAAGCTGCATGATACCGACGGTCAAACCCGACACAATATCACTTGGCAGATCGGTTCTCCATTTGTATTTTTTCATTATCTTCCAGACCGGAAATCGTTTTGTCAAACTTTTCTTTAGAGATCGAGCGTCACATGGACACATATTATGCATTTGTTCTTTAATTGTCTCTGATATACCAGGTGACGGTTTGTCCGGTCGTCTGTATATACTTCTGAAATCTGCCGTCTTATTAACACTGAAATACCAAATAGAAATATTTTATCTTCTTTAGGTAGATTGCAACCCGGGAGTATCTATAGAATTTATATAATAACGAAAGTAGTGTACTTATTTAATGATTATTGTCAAAATTGTGTGTTTAAGAATATACGGTACAATCTTCTATCCTGTTTTGAATTTATTGTACTATATATTTGTGGACAGGCCTATTAACGGAGTGGTTGCAAAGTAAGAAGACCACGGTATCCTATCCCAAATGTCTGTTAAGGCCACAATTTCAGGCAAACCTTGGATATTAATCTATACCTAGCGAGCATTGCATTAAAACAACGGTTACTGTACTCATATGATAGACTCTTTATAAGAGTCCAGCTAATTTGTCTTTTTGTTTCTACTGACATAAGTTATTACCGCAATTAGAATAATAAAATATTCAAATGCTATTTTTGGAGGTTTGGTATTCATTTCGCGCAGCATTCTTTTTCAATTTAGCTACCTTTGTTATGGTATTAGGACACAACCGAAGATTATAAAGAATAAAACATCCTAATATACCTATACCTGTTTAAAACATCATACCTTTCTTTAATGACACGTTGACATTCTCTTTCCGTTCCTGTAACCAAGGTGACCGGCGATGTAGTACAGTCATGGTCTAATACCAAAGTAAACTTCGGTTCTTGGAATGCGTTCATTCGGGACTCTTTCTGTTCCCTCCTGTATAAAGTTAACAATACCTTAATCTGCTGACATTTTAGGGGCAATTTGAAATAATCTGTCCGAAGTCAAAAGGATTTCAATAGGAAGATAAAAAAATACTAGAATTAGCATTTCTTAAATTGACAGGAATAGCCGTTCAACACGGTAATTCATGTTCTTTTTCGTGAAATAGACTCCTCCCTAAACAATGTAGAGCAAATGTTTTTAAAACCGTTAAGGACAATGTAATACTTTTGCTTACCCGTAAAAGAATTTTGCGACACTTTTTTATCCGATATAAAATTTTGCAATACCGTGGTATTGTATGTTTTATGTAATTTAAAAACAGAATTTTTGCGCTCTATTTTTACCCGAAATAGAATTTTGCGACACTGATTATTTTGACCCTTAGAGGATTTTTGCGACATTTAGTTTGATTTGAGAATAAATAAAAACAAAATGTCTTACCTTTTGTTTAGAGCATCCTTCAGTAGATTAGACATCCTGTTAGTGTTGGATGTTGTGTTATTCCTGATTATATGACTTACCAAAATTCATGATAATTATAAATTGGAATAAATGATGAGATATTATTCAATATATAGGTCGCCCTAAATCTTTAAGGCTAAATAGTTCCATGTTTGTTTCTGTAGAAATGTTAGGCCATTTAAAAAGGACTCGAGATATGAAAAATTTACGTATAAATTTGAATGAGACTGCTTATTTTCAATAAAATGAGATTGTAACAATATTTAAAACACAGCATTGCTTAAAATCATTTAAAAATATCAAGTTTACAACTTTATATTGTTATTTCACTTTTTATATTAATGTCATAAGAAACTGAAATTATTTTTTGGGCCTAGAATACTTAAAAAGGCCACTCCAAAATTATATCAGTAAGGCCAAGTACTAACAGACTAAGCCTATGATAGTATGCAGGGTATATTAGTACGTGCCTGTCTGGCAACATAGTAATGAGGGATGTTAGAGGGTTGGTTAATAAAATTATTGAAAACAATTTGTTTAAAAGAATGATTCATTTATAAAAGTATGATACTGAACATTTACATTAATGGTTTAATGAATGTTTTAATCGATAGTATCCCATATATGACAGTTATATATTTCACAAGTTAAAAAAAAAAGAAAGTCAAAACAAGATTTTTTAAATTCTTTTAACGTTGAACGTTTTTTATTGCTTTTTTTTGTTGTTGCTTTTTTTTCTTCAAATTACTGCATATATATCAGGTCACACTGGCAATATTATGCCGATTTTTTAAATCTTTTCTATGTAAAATGGAGTAGAACCACAGGGGTTCGAGTCATTTGTCTCGTCAATAATGGCTAAATAATTATAATATGTATCGTCCCCCTTGTTCATCATGAACAAAATAACTATCAGGCACCGGTTTACAATACATAATATATACTGTATATAGTAAACGGGTGCTAGATAGTAATGTTGTTCATGATGATATTAAAGATGATTCGACCATTATTGGCAAGACAAACTTGGCAAACGCCTGTGAGTACAACCACTAAACTTTTATAACATTGCTGGATAATTTCCTCACGTGAACGAATAAAACATCACCGACGGAATTCGAACTTACAACCGCAGTTTAGAAAAGATTCATATGCATCTGTAATTTATGATAATGAAAACGCTTTTTATAGGAATTTTGACTGTATACATTCCTTCTTTTCATAACCGTTCCTAATTTTTACATGATTTAAAATTACTATGATAAATTACAGTGCTACTATAGTGTCCTAGAGATGTAACAATACTCAAGTACATACCTGTGTGATCAAGGAGTTATCTTGGGTAGTGACTATAGTATGTGTGTATGTGTGTTTAATCGCAATATAATACTGTCAACGCGTTAAAATTCTCATAGATAAATTTGTAGTATTAAAATAGTATAAAGTCATTGTAACTGGTTGTCGGTGATTAGTGAAGTAATAGTTTGGTTTCAATATAAAAATAGTTCCAACATAAACGTGTTAAATTTATTGTAAAGCCTGTTCATTTTTTTATTGTTTTTGTCGCACCAAGACAGTAACTGGTGGAGGGAGAAATCATTATTTTAGGTGGGCACCTGAGTAGAACCACCGACGTTCCGCTAACTTGATAGTTTCCTAATATGAAAGAATCCAATGTCTGTCTCTGGCGGGATTCAAACCCAAAGAGGTGAGGGGGAAGAGGTTAGAAGTCAACGACCAGAAGCACTCGGCCACGGACTCTTATAGGCAGGGTCAGGCTCAAATGACTTACATTGCCCTATATAGAAGGCTTGAAGCAATTCATCGAGCCCTTTTTCTACAATATACGCTATGTATGAACGAAAGTGTATATATTTTTGTTCTATATATTTAATACTTCTTGTAATTACGTGCATAGCAAAATACATTATCTTTCGCCCGAAGCAAAACGCCAATAATTATTATTGAAATGATTTCATTGCGAACTCAGTTCGACTCTTCCAACGTCTTGCAAGCTCTGTAACACCGCACTTTGGGGTCAAACGCACTTTGGGGTCCAACGCACTTTGGGGTCAAAATCGAGAAGTTGACCCCAAAGTGCGTGATTATGCTACATATCAACGCACTTTAGGTCCAAAAGTTCTGAAGGTGTCAACTGAGTTCTGCTTAAATACTGAGTTCTGACTTATTTTCGATCTGCGACATTGAAATATTTGAGGTGGAGTTCAAGATGGTGGTTTGATGCTTAAGTGATAAAATTTTCATTAATTTTACCACTTGACATATCTAAAATTGTGTCCATATAACGAAGTACTCTAGTACATATAGAGGATATTGAATGAGTGTAAGTTCAATACTGAATTTATTGCACGAGTTGAATAAAATTATATTATGCGAGCCTCTGGCGAGCATAATATTATTTTATTCAACGAGTGCAATAAATTCAGTAATGAACTTACACGAATTTAATATTCTATTTATCACATACCCAAAATAAAGACCGTTTAAAGTGAAATAAGAGTCATTTTTCATTGACGCGTCTTTAGGATAACGCTAACATTTAGCGCGTCTTTACACTATGTTTGTTTAACGCTAATGACGTCACGTCAAAATATATGCACGGCCGTGCAATACCATATTTACGGAGTCGCAAAATCGGCATGGGTGTGTGATAAAAATTATTAATGTATCCTAAAATTAAAGATGCTGCGAAAAAAATATCATGAGCTGTCAGTCATTTACTTGATAATTTTTTGTGCCATATTAAGCCCCATTTTAAATATGATGGGGATGAAATAAAATGCAGTTAATATTTTTCCTAAAAACTATAAAATACTCTATTGCAATGTTCTGGTGGAATATCCAGTTTCTAGATCAGACTATGAATAGTGATTTTTACAAATACGTTATTAAGTTTATCAACAAACTTAAGTTTTTTGTAAGCTCCGTAACAACCGTTCTCCTCAGGCTTTTCAATGGGAAATCTTACATACTTCTTTAGAAATGGCAAACATGATTTTTTAATGTTTAAATAATAGTATCAGAAAATTTAAGATACTTGTTACTTGAATAAAGTAGCGATAAATGTGAAAAGAATTGTCATAAAAGTAGCAAAATGTAAACAATGTAGTATTTGACTTCCATATAAAATACTAATTCACTATAACTGTACTCATTGCCAAAAAGCAACAGATGAAAAAGATCGGGACCCCACCATCCCGTCTGTCGAGTAGTGGAATATATACATGCCAGACTGGTTTGGCGAGAAGATTTTTGCTAAATTATTTACATCAGTGTTAAACAACAGGTTTATCGTGAACAAAATACCTCGAAATTAATAAGGATTACAAACCCTAAAATTCTATATATTCAGTTTTCTTCGTATAACTTCCCCATGGTGCAGGGGTGACATGCTCAAGGTGCGAGTGGTCTGGGTTTCAAATCCCATCGAGGCAACTATTTTTTAAGTGTCTTTTTAAGCCACGATATGCAAGGATAAAGTGTGGCTGTCATGAAAAAATAACATAAATAATTTTTGATGCAACTCTGGTCATGCAAAAGTCCGTATGTATCAAACTCAAACTGTTACAGTAAAAAATCTAAACGCAGTCGCTGCATCTCGGTGCCCTGCAAGATGAATTATAGTATATAAAAATAAACGTATACAGGAAAATGCTTAAGGCATACATGTACATGTACATTCTTTTGAAATTCTTTTGAAATAAATGTAAAATGTGAGAAAAATATATTTCAGCATATTAATTGTTACAAATTCTTTATTTGATGAAAGTTCTTCACTCTTTTAAAATCCCTATTGATTCTACTATAATTCAGGACACATGTTTTGCTTTATTCAATACCTAGATTTTTGTTTACCATTGGCTTTGACTGCAATATATTATTTGAAACACCATGAGAATTCATTTTATTGATTGAATTTTTATGACCCCAAAGTACGGTTGCTTGTCTGATGTTAAAAAATGCATATGTACCTGTTTAACTCACTTTGGGGTCAAAATTGGACCCCAAAGTGCGTTTGACCCCAAAGTGCGGTGTTACAAAGCTCCGCTTTACAGCTCAGACTGTGTGGCAGTCTCCATATAATATATAAATTCTCATAATTCAGATATTTGAACTTGCAGTGAAAACAGATTTAAAATGGTGGACAATTAGTTTGGAACTCTGGGTATGAAAGACTATTGTTGGGTAGTGGTGAGAATGTGGTTTATCGGTCTTCTAATCAACATTACTGGTCCGAGCCGTACTGGGACAGGACTAAGTTTTCTCATATAAAATCAATACTGATAAATGAAAAGTTCCAGAAAGCGGACTCGGGAGAGTTTAAATTAAGCGGAAAGATTTTTTCTTGAACAATCCAACTTATAAAATGTTCAAATTTAAAGACTTAGGGGTAAGAGTAGTGTATCAAAAATAAATGAATGAACAAACATTTACGTATTAGTTTTATTTATTATTACAGTACCCTTTGGTCCTCATAGTGTTTATATAACAATAACATGAAACATAATTTCATTTACAGATCAAATAATTTACAAAAATAACAAAATAAAATTTCATTTACTTTTTATAACAATATAATAGAAGTAATAACAGACACGGAAATAATTCACAGAATTTTTCAATCGCCGTCGATACAGGCAGCTCCCGTGTCAACGTGGCCATACAACCTATATCTAATTAAAGTCAATTTTCAAATATATGTAGACAAAGTTAAAGTCAGTTTCAAATAGAATAGTGTCTATTGTCAATTTAACTATTGCCAAGCTCGTCGGCCGCATCATACTAGAATTGAATAAACTAGAATAAATAAGCAACGTCTTAAACCGTCCCTTTTAAGACGGCGTGTGACGGCATTTACTAAAGGTACATATATTTCATATACATGCTTTCAGAACAAAGGCTATATCAAGTCATCTCCAGACTTTATATATACATGTACATAGTTTTATATTTCAGTCGCAGGGGTCCCTTTTTGTTTCTTCATTATGTTCATTATATTGATTTAGATATACTATCTTCAAACAATCGTTTTTTTTAAAGTAGTCCATTGATATTAATATCGCTTTAAAATCCATTAAAACAGAATTCCGATTTTTGTTAACTCGTGCGTTAATTTATGCCTTTAATATCCAAATATGCAGATATTTTAATCTTTTACTGAAGGTCTACTTACACGTTATGAAAGTCATTGTATTTTGGGCGTTAAGTAACGATAAAAAAATCTGACAACTATGTACAGCAATGCTTTTATCAAATATAACAAATTCCCCCAAATTTGCAATCGCAACTTTTCGGCCATAAATCTTCGGTTAAGGTTATTATAGATAATAGCCGATAACGTTCCAATTGAAAAATTTGGGGATCAAAAAAATGTACCTAAATGAGCTAAACAACCGTAAAGCATACATTAATACAAAAGAGCATAAACGTAAATGTCAGTGCTTTTACATCTGTACTGTAAATGGTTTTTAAAATTGTCATAATTTGTAATCAATCAGCAAGATAGGCTTTCTATAAACACACAGGTATGTCTCATGTACAGAAAGATATGAAATGTATATACATTGTAATAGGTTGTAAAAATCTATAGTGAAGACACAAATATGTAAATAAGCACTTCGTAGGCAATAAATAATGTCTGAACCTGTATGAATATGTACAAATATTAATGACAAATGATTTCAAACATGAACATAATTTTAAAGAAAATTACAGATTGTATTCACTAAGACCGGAATCCCTTCCCTTTTAATAGATTTAAGCCATTAATTAAACAGAAACCAAAACACTGGCAAAGTTCAGTCAACATTCCTTGTTGGCTTCTCTGTTTGTCATGTACAAATTGATAACAACTGGCTGCGTTTTTTCTTGTCATAATATTTTGTCAAGTACATCAACCTCTGCAGAGCGACCCTCTGCATAGAAACACCCTTTTTACAACAGCAGTTTCAAATCTTCCAAAACTAAGACTTCATGATAGATTTTGCCTTCATTTATTATCAAAAACGAAATGAATATATGTTAATTTCGTCTTTATCTCCTAATCGAAACATTCCGGTTATTTCCGTAAAACTTCAGATTATCGGGCGAGAAGTCCCGAATATAAATTCAGCGTTCAAACCAGCCATATCCGAGCTTTTTAAAACCGTATCACAATTATGAGAAAGGAAAGCGTGTGCGTAGGAACTACTTTTCGATGAAATAATAATGATAATCAATTAACTGTCGCCTGAAACCGATTTTTTCATATTTGTGACGAAAGAAAGAAAAATATACAGGTAATCAATTTTGTAAAGTATATCCTCAAATGGATTTTTAAGAGATTCAATCAAAAAGATCACATTTTGTAGAACAATTACAGTAAAGCCTAAGTATTGCTTATTAGAACATAACATATGATTGAATATATTATAACATAGATAATAAATAAAAACACAAGTGCATGTACAAATATACAACAATGCCCAATATTTAAGTGAAGAGTTCGTTTCGTCGGTATTGTAGGAACGGCGTATATCCGCGTTGACTAGTGTATATTGATTCGTCTGTCAATCTGTATCTTGGGTCACGTGATAGGTCACAAGACAGGTCACATGTTAAGTCACATGTGTATCAACTAAAAAAGAAATAAAATAAAAATTATAATGCAGAAAGTATTATGATAGCCAAAACGGTATAACAAAATAAATAACATAGCAAATAATTTAATAGAGTATCATATAATATTATGATATTTACGACAGAGCTGCGTCACAGTTATCTTCAAATTGCTTTTTAAAGACATGCATGTAATAACAAACGAAAATAATGAAAAACCTCTAACATATATTATATATATCATTATTTATTTCATAAAATGATTGACGCCTAAAAGTTTTGAGCTAAAGTAGAAGGCTTAGTTACTTAAATGAAGTAAAAAAACAAAACAAAAACGCATTACTTAAAATAATGTTTAAAATAATGCATGCGGTTTTGAAACACCACTTTATCACTAAATATACATATTAAGCGAAATTTAGATTCATTAAAATATTTTTGTTTTTTCCGTATTTTTATGACAAATTCTCATAATTATGTCATATTTTGAGAAAATAATTCATTTCAATTGAAATGAATCGCTAAAAAGAGGTAATATAATAGTAGAATTTTTTATATACTCAATTTCACACAAAGTAAATTAAATGTATTAACGTAATTGCATTTTCTTATAATATTGACGTATTACTTTTAATTTACATAAATGATGAATTGAAAATGAAAACGCTTACGCAAGAAGCGTTAACGCGTACGTAAGCTGCGTTAAATGAAACATTATGCATATTTTGAAATAAAAACAAATCAGATCGTTGAATATGAATATTCAATTTATGCTTTGATAAAACTATCTGAGACAACAACAACAAACTATAACAAAATTACTATGACAAAAAAATAGTTGCTTTAATGTAGTGCGCATGAATTTTAAAATGTATGCAGGAATAGCATTTTAATTATAATGCCATAAGCGCACCTGCAACAACAAGATTATAGAATTATAAAGTGATTCTAGTAAATGTTTGCTGTTCAGAATAATAATAATGAAAATGTGCAGTTTTAAAGATAATAAGATGAGAGAAGTGCTAACGTGTGAAGCTGTTCAAATACAAATAACAAAGTAAAGAAAATGCTAACCTTTGAAGTTGTTAAGATAAATTATATTAAAAAGTTCTAACATAAAAATGTTGTTCAAATAAAAATAACAAGGCAAAAAAATCCTAACCAACAAAGTTGTTTAGTTAAATAATCCTAAAAATGCTAACATGTGAAGTTATTTAGATTAAAACAACAAGGTTAGAAAAAGAATTCTACAAATTATTGTTATTAAGAAGAAGAAAAAAGAAAAGAGTGTGAAACTTTGTATCTACATAAATAAGCAATAGAGCTAATTTTCTTGCACTGCATCAAAAACTAGAGTTAATAAACTGTTAAACTGTCACACTATGGCAATGTGTCTATGCACATGTATTTTGCACAATTGTAAAAGTGACAAAGGCACATTACACCAAATGTATTGCTAATCTGAAAATCATGCGGAAATATAAAGGAAAAGTATCTGAAAATGGTATAGTAAAACATTTCAAACTGCTCATATAAATAAACAAAGGGAATTGCTACTGAATATGTAGTTATAAAAGCAAATCTAAAGTATGCTTAATAATACATTAATATACCAGCAATTACTAATTTTCAATTTGTGTCCATTTTGGACGCCATCTTGAGACTAAAAATAGAATGACACGATGGAAGTTCAATGTTAACGTTCATGTTCAACACGGGACATTTTATTTTCTGAATCAATGAAATCTTACATATTAATTATGTTGTTTGTCTCCAAAGCGTGGTGTTACAAGGTTTCAATGACCCCAAAGTGCGGTGTTAAGGAGCAACACTGCAGTCATGACCATATTTTCTTATACTGACATCAATACTGGATAGTTCTAGGACGGACTCAAGTACAGATCATACATTAAGCTTAAAGAGGTATCCTAACTTAACATATAGCAGATTAGCAAACAATGAATGAAATAAACTGCAAAGCATATATACAATTATTCAGAAGCCCCAAAAAGTACAAACATACAGTCATGTGTTAAATTAAACCTTCTATGTGCAATGCACTATTTTGCGATGTTGTTTTGGCTTAATTTAAACCGAAACTTAAGAAAAGTTATGCTTGATAAATACAGTTAGGGAAAACAGTGAATAATGAAAGTAAACTAAAAAGAAAATACTGAATCATGAAAGAGTTGATATAAAAGGAAAACAGGCAAACGATTTGTAATAAGACTAAGTGTAATACAAAATGTGAACTGGGAGAGGCCTAGAACTAAAGTACCATACATGATGTGCCAAAGCCTTAGCTAGTGAGCGTAAAGCAGTTGTAGAAAACAATGGTAAAATATACTAGTAGTGGTAAAAAATAAAAGAAGCAAAACAATGAGTGCAATAGCAAGCAGTGCAAAGGCAAGGGAATTGACAACAAAGAGGTGTACAGCATGGGGGTGCCACATAAGACTCACAAAGATGACTCTAAAGTCAGTAAAGCCTCATCCTCGGCGGCGTCCGGATTGTTGTTTTCTCGATACATCATTCTTTGAGGGTACTAACAATAATCCGAAATGGGTTATTAATAAAATTATTCTTGACAAATTTATAAAAAAAAATAATTAAAAAATTCTGGAAAAGGTATACTAGTATCCCCCGACAGCAATGCACACAAAGTAGTTGAAAAACCACCGACTCGGTTTTATTGAGAGTCTGTTCATGAGAGATAACGGAAAAAGGAAATTATACCATGCCACCCCCCCCCCCTATCACCGTCTTATGCAGTATTTAAGTCTACACTCTTTACCATTAAATATATTGGATACATTGATCCCGAATTATCATATAAATGTAATAACAATTAAACTCAGATGTTCGTTCCTGCCTAAAATAATGCATGGAGAGGCACATGAGGTCTTCCTCCACCAGTAAATCTTGGAAGTTTCCATATTACCTTTACAGTGTTGGTGCGACGTAAAACCCATCAAAAAGGTCGCCGACGCCGTAACTTTCCTTAGATATTTTACAATGACGCAGTTTGTATACCTGCATCATAATCAATCAAAGTAAATGAGTGAAATTCTGAGGAATTACTAGTACTTGTTGTAATAAACTGCATGAGTGAAATAGTAAAGTAAACAAAATGGATTGCAATAAAAATATTTTTAACTATTAATTAAATACCATCAAACCTGTGTTAAAGACCACATGGGAATCAAAATAACCCAGTTAATTAACGCCAATTTTCATTAATTGGAATAGAGTAACCTCTAAATAAAGATCACTTGTCTTTAAGACCATGTGTTTGGTTCTCCCTTGGATTGCCTTTGTTCACAGGTTTGACTGTAGTACTTAACGAATGTTACGAACAGATATATGACATGATTACCTTTAAGTCGGCTGCTTGTTTTATCTGCGTTTTAATGTGTATTGCGTGGACGGCGTCGTCAACTGTCAGATACAGCCGGTCCGTGTATGTCTTCAGAAACTTTGTTTGTTCTAAAACTCTCCACACCTCGTCTTGAAGAAGAAAGAAATGAACATTAAGAACAGCTGAATTCAGGTTATTCTTGAGCAGTGCTTGTCATTAAAATAAAAGAGCATAACTCTGTACATAAGGTAAATTAGAGTTATGGTACCTGCGCCCATTGTGTTAAATAATCAAAGTGAACAAGGGTGTGAAGTTAAAACCCTTCCCCGTCAATCATTTTGGAGAGTCCAACTTGCACGAAAAAACAAAAACTTAACTAAAATGTAACGCCGACGCCTGGGTGAGTAAAATAGATCTCTAGGTACTAAAGAAACTGACTGGTACTAGTTCCATGTGAGAAATAACAGATGTTACTCCAATAGGGCTCGAACCCACGATCCTTTACATATGAAAACATATTACATTAATAGCATGCAATTAATAGGTTTCAGATAGATTGTATGAAGTAACACAAATTTGCACACACATTTTTTAAACGACGTTTCATAAATAGGTTTTTAAGGATCTAAATTAATATAGAATTACCGTTGACGTTGCAAAGCCAAACTTTAATTTCAACAGCGTCATAATCTTCAACAAGCTGGAATAGAATAATACAATGTATTTTCAATGTTAAACTGACTGATTATTCCCTGGTTTGGACTTGCATAAATAAATTTATTACACTGCACGTTTGTAATTCACACTTTTCATTGAATGACAGTGATGTTTATATAATCTACATATCTGTGAAATTATAAAGTAGTTCATGTTTTCCTATAGAAAAAGGTTTTGTAATGTAAATTCGTTTTAAAGATTTTTGACAGTTTATACAGCCGTATATACAAAGTCTTTTTTTTTTAAAATTAAATCCTTGCCTAGCGTATCGAATAATATTTACAAACAGCCGGGCCATATAACCTATCAAAATTTTTAAAACTGATAATATGTCATCCAAATACTAATTTTTACCTTTCTATATGATTTTTAATACTAGAACATGTACAATGTACTTTAAAGATTAATTAGTGCGGGGGAAAAGGCTATCCAACCAGCTTAAATAGCAATACACGGAGGTATATACAAGATCTGCTTTCAAAATACAAAAATTGGGTTGTCATCAATCAAAGGCCTAGTCCAACTACAGGCAGGCTTGGCTCTATACTGGTGGCAAAGGCTGAACAGTTTCGCTTCTAGCAAAGTTATCGTATATAAGATTGAAAGTTAAAAAGTCCTTACCTGTCTTAAGATTTTCGCGCCAACGGAGTCGATGAAGATGACACCAGAAAGGTCAAGGATGATATGTTGTAACTGGTTCCCGTCTCCCAATGCGGTCAGTATATTAGCTTGTTTACTGGTTCCATTCCATTTACTAACTTGATCATAAGCGTCGGACGAAAAGTTTAAACTAGGCGTGGACCCCATTTCATTAGACTCGGTAACAAGTTGCATCGTGCTCTGAAAGAGAAGAACAGAGGTAATGCAACAATTCTGTTTTAATCTAGTTCATGCAAAACTTAATGTGGAACTTTTGACAAGAGTAATCAAATAGGTACAGAATATCAGTTATTCAAGCACACATATCAGTCTGGTATAGTTAACCCGAATCTGCTCTCATACATGTATTTTTTTCGACAGTTTTCGTTAAATCTACAATTTTGTCATGTGAGAGGGTGTTTTCCTCTATGACGTCACTATTTGAGAGAATATCAATATGGCGGCACGCATCAAGCTCATTATGGTCTATAATCAAAAGATCATGTTCATGTTTTTACACATCAAAGCATACAGCTAATATGTCAATATCTTACATTTTGAACACCTGCTGTCTTTTTATGAGCTTTCTGCATTCTCTTCATAAGCTTTTTTCGTTTCTCCGGAATCACTCCTGATAGAGTGTACACTTGTTTAACAAATAGTGAGCCATTGGCGTAATACAATGGAGAGGAATATCCGATCACCTTGATTCCGGATAACGATTCAGTCTGCAAGAGAGTGAGAAACAGGTTACAGTAAGTTCAAACAAGACAGGGGATGAAATCAAAGAAGTTTCGTTTGTTAATTTGCAAAGTAGCTACTTTAAACGAAAGGTCCGAAACGATGGCAGTGATTCGAACCCACTGCTCGGTTACAGAGCCAGGACATACATGTGAAATGTAAGCATTATTTTCTTTATATGTTTAATTACTTCGTCTTTTTTCATATGTCTGAATCATTTTATTCATATTGGCCTTCAGTAACATATGATTTACAATGACGTCATCTTACTTTTTATTCATGTACAGTTGTTTAAGTGAAACAATTTGTAATTTATCAAGTAACTTCACATTTAGAAATAGACCATGACCAAAAGTTTTATACCAGTTTGAAAGGTTTTTCTATTTAAAGGTTAATAAAATATGCGTACAGGATTAAAAACAAGATTGACTTTTGTTAAGTCACTATAGGGAACATACCTGTCTATATTGTGAGCTATTTTCGTACAAGTGGACAGCATTTATTTTCTGTAAATTTTCTGCTTTGGTCCTGTAAGAAAATTACGGTTAAATGTTATTATTTATCTAAATAAACCTAAGTACATATTTCATCGTGCTGTAATATTACATACGGACAAAAATAACAAATAACTGAGCAGTTACAGGTTAAAATGCACAAAGAAAAAAAGAAATTTAGAATCTTTCATTAAAAAGCCGCTAAACGCTGAAACAAAGCTGAAAATGTGAACCATATACGGGGCGGTTCAGACATGTAGAGGGTATCAGGTTAAACACAATCATTATCCAAAGAATTTAAAGAGACATAAACTATGGCGTACTATTTCGGTCAAAAGTCATAAACAGCTCCATATGAATTCATTTTTGTGTTAATCAGCGCTTACATGCTTCTAAGGAAGTGATGAACGTACCTTTGTGAGCGAATAACGACGGTGAAGAAAGAGAAAAGAATTCCCAACAAGATTCCGTAGTCCACGTGAAGGATGACCACCGACAGGAATGTAACGATCCAAATAAACTGAAATAAAAAGCCAAACATTATATTATACCTATTCAAGATGACATAAGCGGTCCGGCAAAGTATAGTGACTGTCTGATCAGTTTTAATGTTCTATATAAAGCAGTCAAGAAGTTTATCTAGTTTTTACGCCGATTTGAACATGTTTAATGTGGTTTTTTTTTCTGGCGAGTCGGTCCATTTAACATGCTTTCTGGATAGCTAACTAGTTTTTTCGGCAAGTCACCGGCTACAAAAACCACAGGATTTCTGAATCAGCGATGCTAGGCCAAAAAGCATTAGACCCAATGTCAATGTACGGCATCAATTTGAGAGAAATTTTGGATCTCCTGAGGATCAAACCAGCGACCCAAGTTTACAGACAAACCTCTCAAAGTAAAACAGGGAGAGACCATTTTGTATAAGTTCAGCATTGTCAGTGTGAACGAGTCCTAATTTTTGCTGGCCGTGTGGGTTTAAACCTGTGAGTGGCAAGCCGTTGTTCCAATGACCACAAAGCTTTATACTCATCGCTTTGTATCCATGGATTCGAGAGTGATTCAATAAGTTTATAGTTTCCAACACAATTGAAATTAAAATAAATTCGGTATAACATAATATTCCGCTAATAATTCAGGATAATAATTAAACTCTATACCGGCCAGTATCGTTAAATGCACTTTATATTCTTAATTTTACATTATGTAAATACATTGGACAAAAACATCGTCCCTTTCAACTCAAGAATTTTAATAACAAGCAGCCGACAATATGCAGGTGAGAAAATGAATGACACAGAACCGATGCAAGAGAACGTGACAACATAATAAACAAACATTACAATAATAAAACAATGAGCTGTTTAATAAGGTATGCGATATCGCTTTTCAAGGATAAACCTATATATCAACCATCATAAGAAGGCGACATTCCTCATTCAGATATAGTGACTTTGCACTAGGTACGGTCAGGTACGGTTTACCGGAGAATATCCTACCGGAAGTCTTTGAGGTGAACAGACGCAGTAAAATTGTGCATTGCTTGTAAAAAAGGATTCAACAACGTTAAACTATTAAAAAAACATTGCATAATAGTATGCGCTTACTTCACTTTAACTTGAGACGAAGTAGACACGAGACCAGCGTAGAAGTCAATTGTATTTAGAAAGAAAATCCACTTACAAAATCATAGGATGAAGTTCTAAATATTTTTGGCAGTTCAAGAAACTGTAGAAATAAACTTCGTAAGGCAACCATGATGATAGAGGCAAGAACACACTGAAATAAAAACAATATATACATATATAAAGCATTTCCCTATACCATTCGGAATACTTCACCGAATTATAACAGAAAGAGCCGAAATATTCCGACTGCCATTCATCTTTTAATGATTGAGCAAGAAACATTCAATTTGATGAATTACAGCAATAACAAAGGTCAAACATTAGTGTTTTAAAAGTTCTTGGTTTATTATATTCTAATATCATAACCAGAAAATAAATTAAATTGAACTTAATGTATCTGTATTAAATTATCATTAACTACATACGGAAAATGGCGAAGATGTCCGATTATAATTATGCGAGCCATCAATGCATAGAATACATCAATTACTTAAAATGGATAGTTACATTTCGATTACAAATATTACTGCAATCAGCACGTGTTATTGTCCCATAAATAACATACGGAGTGAAATCAAGATGGGTAACTGGTGTTATACTATCAATTTATCCATATATTGGATTATTTCCCCTGAATTCGAGGGGCAATGACTAATTAACTTACATTTGGTAATGACTGGAATAATGGACCAATGGAGACGATGACGATGAGCACCAAAATAGCTGAAAACACACTGGCAAGCTGAAAATACAAATGTCTTTTTTTTACGTTAGCTCTAATAAAAAGCAATCTAAAATCTTTTTTAAAAACAGTATCAGTTGAACATCCATTTTTTGCCTATTCCTGGAAATGATATAATCTCAAGAATATCATATCTCACGTCTGCTAAAAGCAAAAACTAATCACGAAGCCGGAAAATTTGTGTAATTGTAAAATAAAGCGCCTACGTGATTATAGTGACAAACTTATCTATTAACGCAGACGGCAAATTTATCCTTTAAAATTACTTCTTTTATGCTCGAATACCAGTAAAATGGTTTGAACTTATCAAAAACTAATTATTTTCTTTTCCTGACAGAAAAAGAGAAACATCTATTTTTTTTAATGAAATGCCATTTGATTTAAGCCAAGTAAAATGATTGTGATTATTAGTGTTTTAAGGAAGTTTCCTGCTTTCAGGTTACACCTTCTGTTTTTGCTTTATCTACCGAACACGTATTTGATGATGGTTATATTTCAGTGGTCTAATTAATGAAATAATAATAATAGATAAAATATCCCCACAAACCTATAAAATAGGCAATCAGACTAAGGATTGGAATTAAAGGCACATTATGCCACAGAAATAATTCTTTTTTTTTAGAAAGTACAAACGTGTGTTTAAAAGCTTTGACATACAATGTATATACGAGGCTCATCACCGGAAGTAAGAAGCGCTGAAAATGTTAAATAATTGGTCATAAAAGTAGCAAACTGTAAACAAAGTGATATTTTGACTCCTATACAAAATACTTATCCACTACAAACCGTGCACGTACTAACTTCCAAACAGTAAACGTTCATCTATATGTCCAATGAATACTTATTCTGTAATTTGTAACAGTTCACCAAAACTCAAAAATTTGAATAAACGAAAACAATAACATTTCGGGGCAAATTGGACCTTTAAGTACATTTTTAATCTGAACATAGTTCACAAGCAATAGACAAAGATTAGACAAAGTTACAAACCTGCGTTCTCCCGCCAGCCGATTCCTGCACGGAACTTCTCGATACCGAGGCGGCGTATGGGTAGCACGAGAAAAACGAGCCAAAAATATTACCAGCTCCATAAGCAATCAACTCCTGTTGTACAATTGGGTAAAAAAAAGCATTGTAAATTTTTTTTGCATAAAATGGTCTTTCACTAGGTAGTATAAGGTACAAATAACTTCAGAAGGGGTAATCTTTTCGTTTTTATTTTTTCTTTTAAAATTAGTTTTAGCATTTTTAACTTTTGTAGTTTACATCATGTACAAATTGCTAAAAAGGTGATAAGTAAATAATTTTAAATGCGGTTAAAATAAGAATCATACGGAAGCGTCCTGATGCCAATTTAACATGTTCTATAAAAAAAGATATCTCCTACGTAGGACTTTGCAACTCCTACGTAGGACTTTATAACTCCTACGTAGGAGATAAAAAGCCTAATTAGGAGTTTATAACTCCTACGTAGGAGTTTGTAAGTCCTACGTATGACTTTATTAGTCATACGTAGGACTTTATAACTCCTACGTAGGAGATATTAAAACCTAATCAGGAGTTTTAAAGTCCTACGTAGGACTTACAAACTCCTACGCAGGACTTTAAAACTCCTACGTAGGAGTTAAAAAAGCCTAATTAGGAGTTTATAACTCCTACGTAGGACTTTATAAGTCCTACGTAGGACTTTATAACTCCTACGTAGGACTTTATAAGTCCTACGTAGGACTTTATAACTCCTACGTAGGAGATAAAAAAGCCTAATTAGGAGTTTATAACTCCTACGTAGGACTTTAAAACTCCTACTTAGAGGAACACTTATAAAGTCCTACGTAGGAGTTATAAACTCCTAATTAGGCTTTTTAGCTCCTACGTAGGATTTATAAAGTCCTACGTAGGACTTATAAAGTCCTACGTAGGAGTTGCAAAGTCCTACGTAGGAGTTATCTTTTTTTATGGAACATGTTAAATTGGCACCAGGACGCTTCCGTAGAATCAAGCATGTTACCATAAAAAATAATAATTTATCTTGAATAATTTTGCATACATATGATCTTTATTTACAAATCTTCATATTTAATATCTGTTGCAATGCGGTTATTTATTGAAGGTTGTTTTAAACAGGTAGTCATAACTAAGACTGTTTTGTTTAATTTTGATTGACTCCTTACAAAATCTGCTTGACATAATGTCTATATGATATTCAAGGGAGATAAATCGTACCTGTCACTCACGTAAGACGGAAAAAAGTTATCATACCTGATTAGCATCATAACTGTAGCCATGTTTTTTCGCCATCAGTGCAGCTAGACCTACACATTGAGAGAAGGCCACTATAGCTATAATAAACACATCTGCTGTATAAACACTGGTAGAAGGCAAACTAGGGATTGACGGCTGAGGTAACCTGAAAAGGAAATACGCTTTTTTAACTTCAATCATATCAAATTTATAGATGGTGCCTCTTGTGGGTTAAGTCGCTGACGTTGAACCGGTTGCTCATTATCACTGTGGATCCGAATCCCACAAGGAAATATAGATGAATTTATGTGAGAAAGTTATTAGGGTAGTTCACTGAAGGTCGATGTTTCTATTCGGATGCCCGACTGTACATGTACAGGTGTACGGACGATCACCGGATATCTTCCTACACGAGTGAAACTTTTTAAGTCAACATAATCGCTTTAAAAGTTTTGGTGTGACTAAAGGCCTAACAAAAATAGATAAACTATGTATAGAACGATAAATAGACAAACTATATTTGTAACGAGTTGCATAAATTGGACACATAATGTATAATATCATAATATAAAAAGAGAGTTTGTCGCTTCAAAGATTTACAGAATTTTAATTCATATACATGTATATTTACAATGTATGACTAAAACAAGGCCTCTGTACTTCTCCTATTTCTTTCCGTAATAAACCATAAGCATGTTGGTTCAATCAGAACATTACTGAACCAGACGAACAAATCGAATTTACCCTAAAATTCCGTTAATGCCAAACCATTGTGCCAAATAATGTTGAGTAGAGTCCTTTTTATATTTATTTTCCTTTAAAATATTGTCTATACACGCTTATTAATGGCATTACAAAAAAATTAATACGAACATGTTCTTGTTAATTAGCACTCTCTTTGTTAAAATTATATCAAAGCGAAAATTCAATATCATAGTAAATGGTGATGTATGTGTATAAGTTAAATAAATGTAAAATATTTCTGGGTTTTTCAACCTTTAAATGTCACCAAGCGATACTATTATGCTCGGTCTAAGATTATATACTTTTTTGCTTTTAAATGAAATGTCTGGCCGGATAAATGCTATAATGATTCTGTGAACATATCGAATAACGCCTGATTCCATCGGAGAAAGTGGTCTGTGATTACAAATTAGTAACTTGCGTGACGAATTCTTACAGATAGTACTTATTATTATAATGGCACATCATGTCGATAAAAGCTTCCTACAGTTGACAGATAGACTACGAGGTAAAGTGTATAACAACATTATGCCCATTTGCCCATTCAGACACCTCTACAATAAACAACAACGAAAATGAAAACAAACCGAAAAGTTGACCGATTGACCATTCGGAACAATTCGCTTAATATACAGTCCTTATCCGGAGATCGCCAATAAGGGCCGGAATGTTGTGATTGGTTGGCCGACTGACAATTCGGGAATATCAATAAGCCAAGGTGATTGAAACTATACAACTTTAGGTAGTGGACTGCAGATTCCAACTCTAGTGATTGTAGATTTTAAATATCGTCGCCATTGTAAACATAATAAGGCAACCAACCATATGATTAAGTCTCACCGGCACTTTAAAGGTTTAATAGCGACTTTCCATCTTTAAAGATGGATGAAGATCTCAGATGCCCCTCTGTACATCGTGTTATTCATAAGTGGCAGCCGGGTAGAAGCACCGTCCCTGTAAGATAGCTGGATAGCGGGATTCAGTGTCATAAAGAGATACTTTCTTCTGTTTAATTTCTTCAGTGTCACAAATGTACTTGAATCCTCAGAGGCAAGTAGTTGGACAGTTGTTAATTGCTTGTTGATAAAATAGTAGGAATGACCACAAAATAAAACCTGTATATTCCATAACACATAAAGCATACTGCCTTTAATAGATCAGCGATTTGTGATAAAATGTTTTCGAAATGTCATTGTGAACAAATCACATAAAAATATATAATTATTATGTCTACTAACTTAATAAAGAAAAAAAATGTTCTCACCCAGCCGGTATTTCTCCTACAATGGTCATCTTGTATTTCTCGGAGAATTTCAGGAAGTATGACAGCATTGTTCCGGCCACGACCTAAAAATAGAACCGTTAAAAACATTAATAAAATCTTCCATGGCAAGATCGTCTAAACTGAGTGTAACTGAGAGTTTTTGGTTGTCTGTTTTTGTTGATCTTGTGTTTCTTTCCTTGTTTTTGTTTTTTTGTTGTTGTTGTTGTTGTTTTCTTTGTGTTTTTTAATTACGGATCTTTTTTGTCATGTACCAAAAGTAATAACAGTTTATTGTTAAATTGAAGGAATCTTATACAGCTCAACGGCTTATCAGCATGCCCAGGAATGATGCGAGACTGAACTGTGCTCGGTGAACTCAAAGTGGGTTACTGCTGTGATCCGGCGGGAAAACTACCAAACGCACAACCGGTGGCCAAGAGATAAAGGTGTGTGTCTCTAACCCATGTGTATTGGATTCGAGATATATTGGGTCTAATTCCTCATACATGCATTTCACCAATATTGTTTTGTTCCAAAGGAAGAAAATACAAAACATAATATATATACTCACAACAAATAATTCTATTGGAACTGGAAACTTCATTTTGGCTTTGAACCTCATGTTGATCTGTACTTTAACAATATAAATAATTGTCATACATATCACTGACATTATCAGGGTCGGGTAATTCGTCTCCGCTATATGGTGCACTATTAGCGCGTACGTCTGCAAACAAAAGCAAATGAAATTTATGTACATGTCAATTTATAGTTTGCAAACTGATCAGTGGAACAACCACGTGGTTTCAGATTGGTGGTCTACTTTTGACTATCAATGAAAGTTACATAAACATCTATCACCATGTACCGATTGTTTTAAGTTGGAAATAAGTAAAAAGTCATGCTCGGACTCGCGACCAAATGTCTTTGGTCAATGTGATGACGTCATCAATTTTACGTCATGTTACATCAAAATTCTAACGTAAGCCAAATAAAAGTGAAAACGGGTCTTTAAATATTTTTTTTCTAGTTAGAAACTTGTCAGGGCTAAAATACCACAAACTAAAGTGTATAAGAACGTTATACCAGTTGGGCCATTCAGACTCCTCGTCAATTAATTAACATACACCTCGCCAATTAATTAACATACACCTCGCCAATTAATTAACATACACCTCACCAATTAATTAACATACACCTCGCCAATTAATTAACAGACACCAACAGACACCTCGCCAAATAATAAAACACAATGAAGATGGTATATCTGTATGAAGCTGTTTAAGAGAAAGGAATGTAAGGGAATTCGACATTTATAGCCCTTAGAAGCAACATATTATATCACAATCATAAAACTACTATATTTGAGCAATATTTTCGTCTACATACAATGCCATCATTTCCCATACTTGTTTAATTTTCGTTCAATATTGGCATTGTCCAAACAGTAAAAGCTTTAGCAGCGAAATTAATATGTTTCTCTATTTTCCTGTGCATTGTGACTAGACAAATAATAGATTACATCGCTTTGTCAACACCGACAATTCCCGTGTTTTAAAGGAAATCTATGGTGTCCTTTTGGGGCAATCATATGTTTTATCTTTAGATACTACTAAAATATCATTTTGACATATTTCATTCAATGCCAAATAGACAAAATAAGTAAACAGATACAAATTATGGAAAAGAAAGTTATTGTCCTTGTACACTGCACTTGTCCTCATTGTGATCTTTTCATCTGTGAAGTTTAAATAGAGGATATTTGTTTAGTTCAGTGTAAGATCGGGATATATTTCACCGAGTGAGCACCAAAAGGTATATTTCACGAGTGGCGCAGCCACGAGTGAAATATGAGCTTTTGGTGTTCACAAGGTGAAATATATTTCAATCTTACACTTAACTAAACAAATTTTCTTTTTATTATATGCAAAAACGTTGTAAAAAGACATTTAAACCTAATACTGAATGAAAAACGCGCCAAATAATAATACAATGTGACGTCATTTACGACGTCACGTCATTAAGTTGGTACCCAGTACTGTGCACGCTGGTATTTCACTGAAACAACGTAAGGGGCTTAAATTCAAAACAGTGAAATTATCAAAGTGGTAATTTCACTGTTTCAAACAGTGAAATTACCAGTTTTATATCACTGATATATTTCTATAAACCACCGAAAAGCATGTAATAAATTGATATATTTCATACTGTTTAGTTAGTAAGAAGGAACAATTACAAAGAGCAATAACTCCAAAATTATGTCACTGAGAGTTAAAAATGTCCCATATTAATAGAATTTGTAATCATACCTTAATAATCTGAAATAAACCGTCAGATCGAGGAATGTGAAGTCCGAACACATATTTTACTTGACTGGTCCCAACATGCACCGCAGCACCGGTTGTGAATCCACCAATCATAGGGTCCGACATATACGTGGTGATAAAACCCATACGGAACACTCCCATTACCAGCTACAAAGCACGAAATGAAATCAAAATATTAATATTATAACGTACATAAAAAACACCTTTATTTATTTATTAAAAACGTTATCAATGGTTTCAAAGAGCATGTCCGTAAGTAAGAATATGTAAGTATGCCCTAGTATGTGAATACCCAAGAATTTGATATTTACAAAATAAGATAACAAGAGCTGTCGGTAGGACAGCAACGCTCGACTATTCTTAGTGCTTGATAGTAAAAAAAAATGCTTGATACAGTTACCTCCTCCTGTTTACAGGTTGGGGTCATGATGGTGAACAAGTGTGCAAAGTTTCAAAGCCATATGTCAATGGACTTTGAAAATATTTGAACTATTACATAAACTTTAAAGTAAATTCTAAGTCGAAAAAGGGGCATAATTCTGTCAAAATGCTTGATAGAGTTACCTCCTCTTGTTTACAGGTTGGGGTCATGACGTTGAACAAGTGTGCAAAGTTTCAAAGCCATATGTCAATGAACTTTGAAAATATTTGAACTATTACATAACTTTAACGTAAATTCTAAGTCGAAAAAGGGGCATAATTCTGTCAAAATGCTTGATAGAGTTACCTCCTCCTGTCTACAGGTTGGGGTCATGATGGTGAACAAGTGTGCAAAGTTTCAAAGCCATATGTCTATGGACTTTGAAAATATTTGAACTATTACAAAAACTTTAACGTAATTTCTAAGTCGAAAAAGGGGCATAATTCTGTCAAAATGCTTGATAGAGTTACCTCCTCCTGTCTACAGGTTGGGGTCATGATGGTGAACAAGTGTGCAAAGTTTCAAAGCCATATGTCTATGGACTTTGAAAATATTTGAACTATTACAAAAACTTTAACGTAAATTCTAAGTCGAAAAAGGGGCATAATTCTGTCAAAATGCTTGATAGAGTTACCTCCTCCTGTCTACAGGTTGGGGTCATGATGGTGAACAAGTGTGCAAAGTTTCAAAGCCATATGTCTATGGAGTTTGAAAATATTTGAAACTATTACAAAAGCTTTAACGTAAATTCTAAGTCGAAAAAGGGGCATTATTCTGTCAAAATGCTTGTTAGAGTTACCTCCTCCTGTCTACAGGTTGGGGTCATGATGGTGAACAAGTGTGCAAAGTTTCAAAGCCATATGTCTATGGACTTTGAAAATATTTGAACTATTACAAAAACTTTAACGTAAATTCTAAGTCGAAAAAGGGGCATAATTCTGTCAAAATGCTTGATAGAGTTACCTCCTCCTGTCTACAGGTTGGGGTCATGATGGTGAACAAGTGTGCAAAGTTTCAAAGCCATATGTCAATGGACTTTGAAAATATTTGAACTATTACAAAAACTTTAACATAAGTGGTTACGCCGACGCCGACGCCGACGCTCGGGTGACTGCAATAGCTCTACTTATTCTTATCGAATAGTCGAGCTAAAAATGCGTAAAGCAAAATCAAGCAGACAAATCAAGCAGGCGTACTTTACTCTGAATTCTTAAAGGAACTTGACTGAGGTCTAAAAGCTTAAATATTAACATATGATTTTCTTATATTATAGATCAATTGCAATACTTAAAACAGAAATACATGTATAAGCAAATATAAATAAGAAAAAGACACAGAAATAAATTGAAAATCGTATTTATGTGCTATTTTTAGGCCTTACAACATAAGCCTATTTCTCTTCTAATGGTTGCACTATAACTGGCACTAAAATGTTTATCTGAGTACAAGAAAATTTTACAAGTCATCACGTTCTTTAATTAAGAAATTAAGTCTAATTTAATCTAATTAATACTTGGCTGGAGAATAACATTTCTATAGCCTTAATCTTAAAGGAACTCCACTGACGTCCAACATTCTTAAACATAAAGTTTGAATTTATTACACAGATCAGCTGGACATGCTGGAGCACTTAAATAGAAGGATTTGCAATAGTAATTTTAAATATACTCAGAAATAAATCGAAAAATGTATGTTTGTGCTATTATTGTCCTATCTAAATGAACAGCCATGAAACAATAATCAGGAAAATATATTTCCAGTCCCGTCATGTCAAAAAACTTCAGTGTCGTCCCTTTAATGTACAAGCTTAACAGTTCGGGTTATATTACATTATAAATGAACAACAACGGCCAATGAAAAGCTTCCGCACAATAATTCCGACATATCGGTATAGTAATATAATGCTAAAATGAATCTGTAGTATTTGCACACTACTTGTAATGTATCGTCAATTCATAGACAATAAATTAAATCATCAAACTTTTGTGTTTTCATTGGCATAAATGATTTAATTGCAGACGTCGGAATAAGTTCGTAAATACTCGGTACAATTCGGCATTTTCCGTTGAATATAAAGATTAAATAAGCGTCGATATGACCCGGAGAAAAACAAAGCAAATCCTGTCTCCAAACGCTTTCTGGATAATTGTAAGTAATAAGGATATTATACGTTCACGAAATGTTGGTGGGTAGTATGAAAGTAGAATTACTGACAAACCTGAACTAATCCGACAAGAAGGCACAAAGATGACGCAATCGCAATTTTCACGTGATTAGGAAGCTCTATTTCTATTGGATCAACGGGATCGAAAGTGGAATTGGCTTCTTGCACTAGGGCGTTGGTTACATTTTGTCCTAGTACAGATTTCGCTAATTCCGGGTTGTAGAAACGGGAGATAACTGAGCCTGTGAGGAGACTGCATAATGCCACGGTACCTGAATTTCCAAATTGAAAAATAACGCATTTGGCAATATATAATATTTGGCAATATATAACGTAATACATGCATTTTACAATGTAAATATAGCATGATCAGAATGATAATAAAGTCCATTAAAGTACCTATGTTCATCAGTCTACAGATGCTGTAAGCTCAAAATGTTTCTACATATAATAAAGCAACACGCTATAAAAAATAAACACCGTCTGCCTGCTTAGTGGAAACAATAAATTACATGTTGATGTTTATGATGTATTGGGAGTTTTTGTTGTTGTTGTTAAACCACTACAGTATAGGTCATATGGCGACTTTCCAGCTTTACTGGTGGAGGGAGACCTCAAGTGCGCTTTCGTGCATTATTTCAGGCATGCACGGGCACCTGAGTATAACCAGCAACGCTCTGAAAGCTGGCTGGATAGCTTTATCCCATAAAAGAAACAAAAGTCACTATCGGGGACACGAACCCACAGCGGTGAGGGGCAGGTTGTTAACTTGACCTTAACCATCCGGCTACGGACGCCCTTGAGTTGGGAATAAACGAAACACATAAAAATAAACACTTTTGCCGTTTGCAATAATAATGCATGTAGCAATTTTCCATTTTCCAGTTAAGTATGAAGCCCCATTTTTGAACATCTATATTTTATTGTATCAAAGGTATTTACAAACATAAGTGAACAAAATAGTGTACTGACTGTGATGGGCAAAGAGAATGTAATTTTATAATAAATATTTATATCGGCAAAGAATTTGGTACCCAAATTGTCTTGGATTGTTTAGCTTCAACGGTTGTACAGTCCGTGCTTTTGGGAGACAGAGATTTTACTTGTTTCTGAGAGATGTCGCTGTAGAGAGGTAAAATTTATTGCGAAGTGTTGCTTAAGGAATAAATAATTCCATTGTTCTAAAGAGGTAGATGTTGTCTAGAGGGCCGCTCTGCAGGGGTTATACTGTATATCGAAAGGTTGAGTAGAAACTTACCCATAGAGATATGTTTGGATGTGCCGAAGATAAAGTAGATAAGAACCGGGAAGAACGCCATGTAGAGACCTACAACCGGAGGTAGTTCTGCCAAAAGTGAGTACGCCATGCCTGAAAACAAAATTAATACATTAAAGGCCACGCCAAGATTTGTTTAAACAAAATGATAAGACGAAATTCCGATCATTGCATCACACAAAGTTACGACCCATCCTTTGTTCAAGAATTCCAAGAATGTATACGTTATCTAGCCACAATTGGAATTATTCCCCTTATTAACCCGTAATCCGTTGCAAACTATTCGGCCCATTCCGTCAGTCTTCGGATAAGTGTTTGATCGGAACGGGGAGTGATTTCCCTTTGCAACCACGGCACATACACGTGCAGTCTGGCCAGGCTGTACACTGTTGGTAACTCATTTTGGTACTCTGATATTGAAATCACTTTAATTTTAAATGGCCTGTTCAAAGCAATGGCAAAACCATTACAACTCACCATTACTCATACTGCAATTGTTCTTAATATGTTCCCATCGTTTTTTCTCTTGTTGTTGTTGTTTTTTGTTGTTGTTTTTTTGCTGAGGTGTTTCAATAAAAGGTTAGGCTTTTTATGATTGATATGCTTGTACCATATTTGAATAATGCAACATTTATTTGAGATTTTATTACTCCGGAGAGACGAATAAAAATGTTTAGATAATGAAAAGCTATCAAGAACCATATGCCGAGGCACCATACACTTAAAACAATAACATCTATTATAGAGCTTTATTAATCTTTTACGGCATTGAGGTTTGTTTTGTTTTTCCTCGGTAACGAATATGACTCATAATCGCGAAATTGGCAGCGAGTCTACGATTATGAATTTAATAAACAAGTGGTTAGAGATGATATACATTGAATATTACATATGTAAGTCTTCCAAACAGAATCCATGAAAGACTTAAAAATATTACAGTGTTCTTGCCTTAGTTTCATACCGTGCGTGGTCGAATGTAACACAAACCAAACATTCGTCATTTTTTTGTAAAAAATGCAAGAAATGAATGACACTATTTCGTTTCGTAAATAAAAAAAAACTAAAAATAAGTCCAAATGATACGGATGCCCCAACAAGCCACTTTTCTGGAAGTCTTCGGACGAACAGCGCGACGGACAGACGGACGGACAAGTGCAAATTAATACCACCGTCCCTAAGTAGCAGGTGCATAACGGAAGGTCATATTGTTATTCTGATGTTCGTAAATATCACTTAATTGTAACAGTCTATTAGTTATATAATTTATGCCTTTTTTTTTTCAAGAAACTTGAAGGAAAAAACAAAATACCTTGGGGAAGCTGCATTATACCAACAGTCAGGCCAGATATTATATCATTTGGCAGGTCATCCCTCCATTTATACTTCCGCATAATTCTCCAAATTGGAAATCTTTTCGTCAAAAACTTCTTTTGCGAGTTTTTGTCACAAGGACAAACGCTGTTCATTTGTTTCTTACAAGCGGCTGGAAGACTTAGAGATGGGTCATCCGGGCGTCTGTAATCATTCCGGAAGTCCACAGTTTTCTTGCATCTGCAATAACAAGAGGTCAGGGACGGTCAAGTAACAGCGATTCGATCGATATCATTTCTTGTTTAGACATTCAAATGCATCAGGATTAAACGAGGAAATAATTTCAAGCAGACGGCAGTTACTTTAACGGAAAAATCCGGTTAGCAGTGAAGCAAGGATGCAATTTGAACTGTGAGATTATTATTCAGTTATTATTGATTCTGTGTACATGATGTACAAAACAATCGTCAAGAGTTCAACAAAAATTTTAATAAAGATCTTATCATAGTATAATTTTAAAAAAGAAATATTCAATCAATAAACAAATGTGAACTGTAAATACACAAGATATTTAATTACAAACTAGACTTCGAATGAATGATTCGACGATATTGTATCTTTAATGGTCAGGTCTTGCTAGGGTTTTTAAGTCTAAGAAATATGAAAATGTATCAAAATAAAGATATGCGTAAAAGATTATAGCAAATATCAATAAGCAAGCAATGCTTGATCTACTTTCTCAGAGTTTCTGTTACGTTTGCAGAATAAAGTTATACTGGGTTTGATTCATTCACAATTATGTCATTTAGCGTTTTGAATTTACAATTTTATGCTCCATTTTTAATATTCATATCTAATGGTAACGCCCTTATTTTGCAGACTTTATATACAATGTATTATTTTTATCATCATTATATTAATCGCAACCATCTTCATTAACAATACCCACAACAACAACAACATCATCATGCAACAATAACAGTAATATTATTATCATCATCATCATCATCATCATCACCATTATCATCATTATCATCATCATCATTATCAATCACGTTATCCTCATCACGATTTATTTATCATAGTTACCTGTTTTTGATGGCATCATAATACTCGCTCTCGGCCCCGGAGACGACTGTTATTGGAGGCGTGGTACCATCCAGGTCAAGAACCACGTGAAAATGTGGGTTTTGATTCATGTTTGAACGTGTTGTGTTCCTCTCTTGCCTGAAATAAAATACGATTAAAAATATTGTAATGTAAAATATGTTTTATGTTAACCGTATCGTTTTGTGTTACCTTTTCTTTACTATGACAACATTTGGTATCAAGGAATGATAGCAATATTGTCCCTGTTCAGTTTCTAATTCAAACAAGATTTTAAATGACAAATGCACAGATACTTGAGGAGTGCCTCAAACTTGTTGAGTTCCAAATAAATTCCATTTTAGTAAATTTCACCCAATGCATACAAAAGATTAAAAGAGTTAAACAAAGAAGGCCCGAAGCGTGCATTATTTTACAACAATGCACTCGCCGTTCTTATTATCTCCCTGTGTATTTTCACATTGAGGGCGCCATTTTGTTTGATAATCTGATAAATAAAAAACATTTTTTGTTGAATTTTGTTGTGAAAACTAGAATGAAAGAAAATGGTCTTACTAGTAAGAAAATGAATCCGAACACCAATATCTTTAATTCAGTCGTTAACGCTGTACAGACGTTTTTAAACTGTTGTTTACGTGACGTCACAATGTAGCGCCAAACAGCACGTGCAAAACAATCAACTCAAGTACGCTATTTCAATATCGCAAACAGTTAAGTTTTACATTTATTTAAGAAATAACATCGGCATGAGAGGTGTATATCGGCTATTTAACACCGGTTTGGAGTTTTGATGCGTAGGAATTGACCACGAAGGCCGTAGGCCTGAGTGGTTAATTTTTTCGCATCAAAACGACAAAACCGGTGTTAAATAGCCGATATACACCTCTCAGGCCGATGTTATTTCGATTCTATCACGATAAAATAAGGAAGATCACTAATGTTATTTTTTTCAAGATGAAATAACTTCCGGTGCCGATTTTCGTATAACGCTGTTCGATTTTCGCACCCTATGTTGCAAAGATATAGAAATTATTAAACAAAATAAATAATAAGGAAAAACGTTATTTTATCAAGTTTTCAACAATAAAAACTTACGTCGTATTGTGTTTACATCAGTGCCCCATTTATCATTCTTGTATGTATGAAATAACGTCAGCTTGTTTATGAATGAGTTGTTTACTTACGATGACGTCATTACGCCGCTTACGGATTGGCGCCGTTTTGTCAAAATATTTATTAACTGATATGGATCAAATATGTGGCATTAGTGTATGTGAGATATTATTTCGGTATTGTATGAAAAGAAAACATTGTAAGAACTGAAAATATAAATAAAAATGCTTTTATTGTTGCTTTAAAAGGCTTTGTAAACTATATAATCGAGGGTGAAAACATAAAAGCCGCATATACAAGTAGTCCCTAACCAGTGTTTATTGGCAGTTTAACACCGGTTTTTTTCTTCTTTGTCTATAGTGACAAAATGACGTGGAGTGATAGAATTCATTTTTAATAATTTGTATTTCGCTTGAAAAATTATAGAGTGAAATAAAATAAACAAACAAAGTTTTATCAACGTTCAAATTTTCGGCCTTCGTGATTATATTACTACGCATTTGAACTCAAACCGTGCATTATTCTACAACAATGCACTCAGAATTGATATATATTTCATAAACAAAATCATGTCAACCATGTATTATCCGAAAGGTCCAGACAGGACTGAGATGAAGTACAATACGACCGCTTACATCCTGATGAGGACGCGATATTTAAAAAACACCGCTTCTTAGAACATTCGAAATTTGACTATTTTTCAGCATATACTAGTACTATTAGTCCCATTTGTTAATTTCTTGTTCTTTTATTTAAAATCTACCTCAGAATTGAAATATTGATTGATCGTTATGATGTGATAATAAAAATATTGTTGTTTTGATGTTGATGTTGATGATGATGATGATGATGAAACTGTTGTTGTTGTATTTGTTGTTGTTGTTGCTTCTGCTGCTGCTGCTGCTGCTGCTGCTGCTGTTGAATATGAGGATGGTGATGATGAGGATGATGATTGATGATGATGATAATATGAGGTGATCACTTACGCATGAAATCCTTCCGTTACAGTCATTCTTTATTCAAAACACTTTAAATCACAATAATATACGCTTAAGCAATATATATATTATACTGTATCTGTAAACCTTGTTTTAAAATGACCTTGCCGGCGAAGAATGGTAACGAGGAATGGTACAGACTACATTAACCTTGAGGTCAAAGGTCAGAGCGGTCTAGTAACGGTCATTGCATCAAAAATAATGTCAGCGCCTTTAACGTCATAATTATTCTTTTCTTTTTTCTTTTCTTTAGTTGTGGTTTATTTTTTATTTTATTTTTTTGTTAATATCTATATCCATAAAGGTACCTCTGAAATGTTATTCAGTAAATTCATTTCAGACTAAGTTTTTAGAATTAAGAAATACGCTTAAATTATTGATAATTGAAATAGTTTTTTTTTATATTTTTTTTTTTTTTTTTTTTTTTAAAATGTTTATTTGTTAATTGTCGTATTTCGGTTTTTAGTTTGTTTTAAAAATTTATTTAGCTTTTTTAAGTTAATTATTCAACATTTTATCATTTTATGTATTAACATTACGTATATAATGCACAGATGAATATTAAATGCGTTGTTTTCCATTGCTCTTGTTTACAAAATTGAAGTAAATCTGTTTTTGTAAATGAGAAGTTACCTGATTCGAACATTTGCAGGTCATATATCAAATACCAGTAGTTTTTAGTAAACATGCAGCCTTTTGGTAAACAACTTTTCTAAATTATGACGCATACATTGAACAGAAGAAAAAAAAAGTTTACGAAAATGGTTTTCACAAAAGTGGGATGTCATGTCAAACTATTAACCATATCAAATGGTGACGGTGTTGTTGTTATTATTGTTGTATACATGATACAACGTACCCTTACGTCATTTCTAATAAACGTTTACGTTGTCGTTGACGTTATCATAATCAAAAGTAAAATACCTTTGAAATATTGAGGATAAACAAAAAATAGGTAACAACAATACGCAGAGTGTGGTTATCATTACAAGATATAGAGACTTAAGTATCAACTTCGCAGCTCGTCAAACTATTAAATAAAGTATAAAATAATATAAAACATAAAGTTTTGTACATAAATCTTCAGACAAGCACCTCTGTAGAGAGATGCCCTCGTGAGACAAAAAGTATCAAAGCGAAACAATCCCCATCCCCGTTTCCACTCGTCCGCTCTTTATTCAACCCTAACCTCGACCCCCAACCCGCCCTTTGACACACACAGACGCACAAACCGAATTCTGGCACTTACCGGCGTTTCCATGCTTCTTTTATTAATAAAGACATATTTTTTGTCATGTTTCACGTAGAGATATTTCCAGATCACACATCTCCAGTATACCATAGTCACTTAGAGCTTTAAAACCGATAATAATGTCAAAGTTTGATACATATCAGCTAATTAATTCAATATCCAAGGTTTTGCAGTACTCGTGCATTTCATTTTTCTCAATAATGCACACGAATTACGTGTTATTTCACTTCGCCGTTACTTATACGCATATCGACCTTATTCCAATGGTACCGTCCAAGAACATTTGAAACTAGTCCAATCAAATACAATTAAAAAAAAATTTAATATGCGTAAATATAAAAATCATTTTCCTGAACGGAGACACAATAAATACTGACAGCAACACCACTTAATTTTCTATAAATCGTTCACATGCAACATCATTTTCCAAGAGAGATTCTACTACGCATTTAATCAAACGGTGCTTTGTCAATCTTATCACAATTCTATTACACAATCATGATCCATGGAATTTCAGATTATCCTAGCCACAAGCTGTTGTCAACACCATAGCCATGATATCACATAAATATCCAAAAGAAAAAAAAACACAACACGCAGATTACGATGTTAGTAAACCAATCTGTTGCACAACTTTGTCAGTAGCATGTTTTCGCTGGTATAAAGCTATCTAATATTTTCTCTCCGTAACATTTCATTTTGTTCTATCGATCTGAACTGAACGTTGCTTTCTCTAATGTATGATACATTGCAAGATACGTAACGAAAAGCAATAAATTGCGATTGTCTATTTACATGAATTTGTCGTGAATTAATAAAATTAAAGATGGTCCGTTAAAGGCCTATTGTAAACATTGTCCATTCCGTTTTTTCTTCTCTCTTTTCTGTATTTTAATCGTCACTATCATTATCATTATTATTATCATCATTATTATCATCATTATCGTCGTGGTCGCTGTCGTTGCAGTCAGCAACAATATCAAAATCAACAGTAAAATTATTATCACCATCATCATCATCATCAATAACAACAACAATAACAACAACAACAACGAAAACAATATCATCGTCATCATTAATAACAGCAACAACACACAATAAAAACATCATCATCATAGTCATCATCATCATCATCATCATCAACAACAACAACAACAAAACCAACATCATTATCATCATCATCAGCAGCAGCATCATCATCAGCATCAACATTATTATCATATACATAATCATCAACAACAAACGCATTATCAGCATCCATAATTTAAATAAAATGTAAATGAACTGCATGTGTTAGTGAACGGTATTGATCATATATCTGTTTAGGGACTAAATATTTATTTATTGTCACGTGGTCACACTGACAACCTATACATTTGAGGTCACTGGTAGGAGTTTTATGCTCCATTGTTCTTTCAGTTGAACTACAAATATTCATTGGAATAAATAAAGGGCCAAAATCATGGTTTGGAAATTCAAAGAAAGTCGTTTATTCTCTAAGTAAGAACCAATTTATTGTAATAATATATGTTGTTGATGTTGCTGTTGTTGTTGTTATTTTGTTTTTTTGTTTATTTATTTATTTATTTATTTTATTATTTTTTGGTGGTGATGGCGGGGGTGTGGCGTTGTCCAATAACAATTCTTTACGTTGACAATTAAGGAGGTACTTTCGTATAGTTTAGTACGTATTTAGGCTCAACTTAGTATTTAAATCAAAATTCAACCAATTTTTTTAACATTTAGTATTGAACCATGTTATAAATGCGATTAACCTCCTCCAGAAAACTTTCATTATATGTCGACGAGGGTCTTTAAAGTAAATATGTCGATAAAATGCCGGCGGGCTGATTAAGATGGATACCAATTCGATGTAATATTTACACAACATTTATTTAATTACTATTGTTTCAATAGTAATAGGTGACCAACGCGTGGTATGGTGTGTGAACGACTGAACGTAATGTTTTAACAGAAAAAAAAGATAAATCACATTTCAATAATACAACGGCACTGGTCAATGTTTTTGTTGTTGTAGTTTTCATTTATCTTTTATTTATTGTTATATTCAATTCAATTCAATAGCAAATAATTTTGATTGTTACACCGGGTAATTTTTTTTTCATTGGGAGGGGAGGGGGTGGGGTGCGTCATACTCATATATAGAACAGGATAGCATTTCCTGCTACACAGTTAAGTTATCAATGCGATGTTTATATTCATTTTTATTTTATATCAATAATGCGCATAAATTTATACTTATTATTATATAATAATAATGCTATATGACATAAGTTTATCGTTTATATTAGTGACCGATTTATGACATTTGTTCTTGCTCACGTGAAGTCTGATTATTGCAGCATAATTACCTCACTTGTTTCATGTACAGTTCTTCTGATCCAAACACAGTCCCGACGGGAATATTACTTGCGTGTGTGACCGTTTAGAAAATAGTGATTGTGCAAATTTGTAAATTTCTCCGTAATTTTGAGCCAAGTCAAAGAATAAGATATGATGATTCAATTATAGACCTAATATAAAAAAATAAAATAATTATAATAAATATTTCCTCATAAAATTTCCTCACTATTATATACGAAAAATAAAGGATAACCTCCTTAGTTATACAGGTCCAGAAAGCCTAAAAATATTATTATTTCTATTTCTTAAAAAAAAAGCTTTTTTTATATAATTTTACGTGTCCTGTTGCTGTCTCAAAATGATTACTCGTTAATTATATACCTGTATATAGCTGAACCATCGTCTGTTTCTGATGCATTTTTTTATTATTTTTTTAATTAATATAGTAATACTGAGTATTTTGATTGGAAGTTAAAAGACCACTACGTTTTCATTTTGCTTTCTTTATAAAAAAAATATGTTTGCTTTCAGCACTATTTTCTTCAAGTTCTAAGCATTTCATACATCTAAATCCACTATAATAATGTTATAAAAATCACGTTTGCTCTTTCTACAGAATGAAAAAAAAATCATTCTAAGACTTAATGTGCCTTTAAAATTATTTCCAAAACATTACTTTCAGTATCAACAAAAAATTGTCGGCGTAAAACTATAAAAAAATAACAGCAACATTTTCATAAAGAAAACTTAAAAAGTCATACTCCAGTAGTTTCTTTTTGTTTCTCAAAGACAATGAAGAAAATTTAAACTTAAGAACACATTTTCTTCATTTTGCATGCTGTATGGGAATCATAATTGACACAAATTTATGTTTGCTTAATACTTGAGGGCCACCATCCTATTTCTTCTGAATGTGAGTTTTTGCATGGATGGTTGGGTAGAGTTAACCATTAGTAGCAAAATTCTTCCACGTAACCCATATATTGATATATATTTTTAAAAGTAAATTGTTTTCGCATTTAAGACTCACTTTGAAGTTCGTTCCAGTGAAAATCACATTATACTTATAACATATGATTCGGTTATAAATTTACATCCACACAAAGATTATATCTGTTTTAAATGTGCGTTTTCGATTAGGTTTGTATGTTGTATTTTTAAAATAACGCTCGAATCTTTTAAGCACATTAAAGTATATCAAATGTGAGAGTTAAGTTGAGAAATGAATGCACGTGTTAATAAAACAGTTGAAATGGGCCAGGCTTATTATTTAATTACCAAATCTTTATAATTATATAGACTAAGTATAGTTAATAGTGTAATTTAACAGCTAATGTATGTATCGTTCTTCTCGAGTGAATATCGATCAAAATGCACAAAATGTAAAGTTCAGGTCCAATTACTTCAAAACAGGCGTGATTTAAGAATTGATTGAATTATACATGCAGGTCTGTTCAAATACCCTGTAAACATGCAGTGGTTGGGCCAACCACGGAAAATCGTCAAAGGAAAATCGTTGTTGGGCCATGGTTGGCCCAACACTAGTTAACATGTACTATAAATGCAGTTGTTGGCCCAACTTCGAACCAACCATAAGTTAACGCCAGCGACATTTCTGCATTGGCCCAATAACGATAAATATGTACTTTAAAACAGATGTTGGGCCAACGTTTGACCAACGATACATTTCCGTCAAATATATTACTGCACCTGACCCAAATTTTTTTTTAAACACATATAGATACATGTAGATATTTTACTGTATATAAACAGTACACTACAATGAGTAAAGACTAAAATTTATAAAGTTTTTTTTTGAAGCCATGTTTCAATATTGTCACATTCAAGAAATACTCATATAATTTAAATCAGAAATGTACGTAAGAAATAATTACTTTGTGAGTCTAGAAATGACCAAAGCCCAGGCTATATGCAGTAGTAGGGGATGTATCTATAAAAATCTTGAAGATCTGATGTATAATCTAAGGCAATTATACATGTGCTGAAACAGATTAACCATCCTAAATGTTTACAATAAACCTCCGGAATCTTCCACTCTAAACTCTAATTAACCTCTGGTTATGTAATGAATTGAAATAGGATCATTTTGGCACTACCCATCCGTTCCCTCTGCGTGGACGTGTTTACAGATATATTTAAATAAATTTGAATTAGACTGCAATTTCTCAACACTGAAAAATGTAAGTAGATCTAGAGTTTTTTTTACTTTAATCTTTAAAATAAACCCTTCTAATATATTAATGTATTTAAACATGCACGGAATTAGTGTTTTAAAACCTGTTACACTTTCCACGTGACCAGGTCATGTGATTAATACAAAATGGCGGATTGGTAATTGTTTTCAGGTAAACAAGCCAGAATGAATTTGATTTTTGTAATGAAATTAAAACCATTTAATTATATCAGTGTTAATCAGCTTAAAATATGATATGTGCATAATTTTACATCTGAATTTATTGTGATAACTGCAAAAAATCTTTGATTAAGTTGCAAGTTAGTACTACAATTAGCACTGTTAAGCTCATACAATCTGCTCTGAGTAATAAATAGGTGATTTATATTAATATGTTTGGTAGTGGTATACGAAACTTTGTGTAATTTTAATTTAAAGTGTAACTTCGCATTAAACACAAATTACTTTACCCGACTGCAAAATTGTTTTTATTTCATTTCAGACAGCAAATTTATGTCTAATTGGAGGAGATAGTGTGGAGAGCAATGTTCGCCGTGTTATGTCTCACACTTTGTCTCAGGAAGTTGCCCTAGAATACAACTGGGTTTGAAAAGGCTCGAAAAAACCATTCGAAAAACTTAGACTTAAAACAGTCATATTAGGTTTGTATTTTTACTTTTTTCAAAGTTGATTTCACCACGGTGCTAAAAAATTTATTTTACACCGTGGGTGTAAGATATGACTCTTGTGTTGTAAATGATCATCATGACTCTTTTTGCATTTTGAC